GCTGCGAAGATTGAAGTGGAAGATGAGGTTGTGATTTGCTGGATTGTGGTGGTGTTGGAGATTCGGTGGGTTGCGATTGTGTGTTGTCTGTGTCTGATTTGGCATCTTGCTTGTCCTTTTTGTTGCCGTCATTGTACTGGTCCTGCAGCTCTTGCAGGTATAACACCAATTCCTTGATGAGGTGTGACATTGCTGGCCGTTTTGCGAGTGTGAGCTTCTCTTGCCAGCAGAATGCGGTGGCTGCTTGGTCCAGATCAATTCTCCGTGCTCGGAGTTGACCCATAAGTTCAGTGGTAAAGACGGCTTCGCTGATATGTTTGCTGCATGTGAGATGGATGTCGAAGCCGTGTGCGGCGTAACGTTGCCAGTATGATGACCAATTGTGTCTTAAAAATGCGACCAATGGTGCTGTTGCGATCGGCATGCCTGCCGTGCGGTTGTGCACTGAATGTGGTGTAGATTGAATGTGTTTGGGTAGGTTGAGGCCGTAAAGCTGTCTGTTGTCCCAATGCTCTGGTGTTTGAACGAAGTCGTTTGGTATCTGGGGATTTGCAGGCGTGAGATTGGTGTGTTGTTGTTGTTGGGGTGTGACGGTGGTCTGAGGCAATGTATGTGAAGAAATGCTGGGGTTTTGAGTCGTCATCGGAGATGGACTCACAAATGTGTGTTGGGGAGTGGCAGGTGTGGGTGTTGGCAGTGTGGTGGGTGAAGCTGGGACGGTAAACTGCTGGGGTGGGGGAGGGGGTGGAGGGAAAGGGGGAAAAGTGGTGTTGTGGCTGTAAGGGTGAGCTGAACCCCAAGTAGTTGGGGTCATGGGTGGGGTGTGGGGTGGGATGTTGTGGATCCCTGGTGGTGGGGAAATCGGGTGCATTGGGGTGCTGCTGGTTGAGGCTGTTTGTCGCTGCACCGCACTGATTGCTGTACCGATGATGCCTGTTGGCATTGTTGTATGCCACTGAGGCTGTGTCGGCTTGTACATGGTTGCAAAATGGGGCACTACAATTGCCTGTGACTGCAAAAGCTGCAAATAGCACGTGCATGGACAACATAGTTGGCTTGAGTGTCAGCATCTACTTGTGCAATGCATCCAGCATGCAGCTGCATCGTCTCTTCTTTGGCTCAAAAGCGGGGTCGGAGCAAATGCTTGATTGCATACCGCTATGTGCAACGGGATTCAGGCCTGGAAGAGAAAGGATACTCGAGAGTGAAAGGTAGAAACGGAAGAAGAAAGAAAGTAATACAGAACATCACTGAATAAGGCCGAATCCAACGATGCTGAAATGCCCCGAGTGGAATCCCCACTTCTCTGGGGTCCGCACAACACCCTTTCGCCCCACGATGAAGGCCTCTCTATACATGTCCCGATACGTCATCTTGTAATGCTGATACTTAGTCCGTATTGTCCCGATGACGATCACTCCCTGTTGGCCCTTCGGCCGCCGTGTACATTGATCGGTTACTATATGTACCGTGCTTTCCGATACATCTCCTGGGGTCGCATTCCCGTATATGACGCAAGAGGGAATGGGTGGGTAGGACTTGTCGTCGAAGCAGTGTCTGACTGAACTTGGGCGGACCAAGTCCTCGCGCATAATGCGCGCGGCACTTGCAATGCTCGTGCCGTGTCCGGCGGTGTAGATGTATGTCTCTCCTGGTGGGTCAGTGGCACGGGTGCCGAACGCTCTGCGCTGCTCTCCAGCCCAAGGAATGAATAACATAGTATGCACGCCGTCCGATATTGGCGTCAGCACTGCCCCAAGTTCGTTGCACGCTGATCGCGTGCCTGATTGTAGCACTGCATGTGCAAATTCGGCTAAAGTCTCCTGCCTGAAATCGCTGTCAGCAGCTATCTCGCCCAAAGTTTTGGCGAGTTTGTGTGCTTCTTCCATGTCGACGGCGTGAGGGGTCGGCTTCTCATGTTCGTAAAGCTCAGAAAATGGCGCCACATCAATCTGTGGTGGTCTGCTCTGTTTGCCCAGTTGTTCGAGGGTTGGCTGACCCGATGGGGCAACGGCTGTTGATGCATCGTAGGTCGGGGCAGGTGTCCGAACGGAGCTGGAGGGATTGTGCTGAGCCTGTTGGCGGGAGGAGGTGCCCTGTCCGGCTGGGGGCTGCTGTTGTGCTGCTTGGCTGCCCTTGATGCGGAGGGCGATTCGTTGAACCTGCGAGGCCAATGTCCTTTGTGGGACCTTGGGTGGGGTGGGTGGCCTCTGACGTAGCTGTGTGGCTCTGTAATGCCACTTGTTGGTATCAACATCACGCACTGTAGAATAGCTGCGGAGCACAACCGAGGTCCGCGGAGGTGTCGACGAAGATCGCCTGGTGTCCCTGCGAGAACGACTTCTGCGGGTGTCGCGGGATCGGTGGTGTCTGCGTCGGCGGTGCTGTCTCCCGCTGCTGGCAGGTCGTGCTCTGCTGCGTGTGCGTCGTCGGCGTCTAGTGCTCACGGTGCGGGTTCTGCTGCGTGTGGGTGAGTGCCGTCTCCTGCGTGGCAACGGAGGATGGTGGGAAGAAGCACGTGCTGCGAGCGGGTCAGTGTCTCCCGATCCCGTAGCGGGTGGTGGTTGTGTGGGTGGTAATGTGCTGACAGAGGGTGTGTTGGCTGTGCTTATTGGCTGGGGTTGGGGGGTGATTGCCGGTGTCTGTGGGGCAATGTGTGCAGCATCGGTAGTGGTAACATTGGTGGGGTGAGATTGTGAAGCTTGTTGGAGGGTCGTTGGCTGCGGTATATGGGATTGTTGAGCGGGTTGTGTGGAAGGGATGCTGCAAGGTGCAGGTTGGGGTTGTGGAGCAGGTGGTGTGAAAGGAATGTTGTATGTGGCAGGCTGGGAGTGATGCGGTGTCAGAGGTGATGGGCTCGTGGGAAAAACTGTTGTATGGGTAGGCAAAGGACCAGGGTTCAAGAAAGTGGGGGGATGTTGCGACATGAATTGCTGGGGTGGAGGTTGTTGTGGCATCTGGGGCTGTGGTGTGCTGAGTTGTGTGTATACCATCGGATGCTGTGGTATAGGAGCAGTGTGTCCACATGGCATCATGGGGAAGCTGTGTGTCTGCTCAACGGGGATCGTAGTGGGTTGCGTCGGCAGTGTGTGCTGCTGAGTGGCAGCAATGCCAGTTGGCATCATTGCTGGGTATCCTTGTGACTGCGGTACCCAGGTGTTCGGGTGAAACTGATTGAGCACCGGTCGGGTTGTTGGTGCGTATGGTGTTGCTGGTGGCTGCGTGGTAAAATAATCCGGCCACATAGCTGCAACGAAGTTGGTGAAACAAACACAGTTGCACAAGCAAAGTGCAGGCTGTCCTGGTTGTCCCTGCTGGACGGACTTGAGATGTCGAAGACGGAGATAAAGAAAGAAGAAGGCCGATTACTTCCCGGAGGAAGCGCTGCTTCACTTGCGTTAGACACATGTTACCACGCCTGCCCTCATGTCAGTTGCACATGCCCTTGCAGTCCCTGAGAAATAAAGAAGCGGTCGAATAGAGGACAGACTAGCGAGGTAGCACCTGCTCACTAGACGCACTTTACTGCATTAGCCGTCCATTACTGCACCTGCACTCATGTCAGACGCACATGCGAGCATCAGAGAGAGAGAGATAAAATAGCATCGGGAGAATCTGAACGATCTGAACGAAGGCTGAACACCCGGTTCATCACCGGTCTCCCCGGAGGGTCACCACGGCGCCATGACGGAAAGCCGTTGCTCTGGAGTCTCAACGACCCACGCTGATCACACTGATGGATTCGGCCAAGAGTACGAGTGCAAAGGACAAAAAGAGGAATGTTGTTCATGTTGCAACTGTTTGTCAGATTGCGGCAACCGTACAAATTGTTTGTCTAATCTGGACACCACAGGGGGCCTGTCCTCAGACTAATCTTGGCACCACAGGGGGCTGCCGAAAATTGTGCAGGTACATGACTGAGCGTCCTCAATCACTTCCCTTCCAGTGACCTAGCTTCGTTGGGTCAGGTCAGTCACTGGAAGCCTGATCCCCCTGCAACAGTTGATTTGGTAAATGTCCAATGTCGGATTATGTTGAAAAGCGAAATTGCAAACAGTGTAGGAGTGACCCTCTGCTCCCATGTGCTAGGGAGGTTCACACACACACACACACACACACACAAACACACACCTTACTCAACCGTTATAAAAACGCCTTCATACAACCCCAAAGGAACCTTTATAGATCCAATCTAGATCTCTTACCTTAAAGACACCCAAGCCAAGGCACAATCCCAAGGCTAATTGAAGCTATCAGAGCAGGGATCTACTTTCTGTTATGGTTTCCTTATTCTTGTAAGGTACACTAAATTCCAGAACACAGGCTAGAATAGGCTTGCTTTGAGGGCTCGTGTACCGTGCTAAAAAATGCTCTGAATGTCGTTTTCGCCGTGGGGTTTCGCAACTCTGTACCCAGAGTCGCACGCGGTGTTGGTGTGCACCCGGCTATAGAAACCGCAACACAGTTGTCCCAACTCTGAACACTAGTAACAACAGTGGCAATAAGGGTGATCATAATAACAACAATAACAGGAACCTACTATAGTATCCTTATAGTAGCTCTTATATATGTAAATAGAACCCTTGTATGGATTCCTATAACAGTACTAACAATGGCTCAGCAACGCAGCGACCCAAGCGACTGGGATACTGTCAAACTCACCCCTCCACTACTCGGCACTTGCAGACGTTTTGTCGACAAGCCGAGTCAGCATGAGAACAAAAAACAACAACATGGGAGTTTCGCAGGCGGATCTCACTGCTCAGATAACGCATATGTTGTACAAAGCAAGCATCCTTTCTGTTGAGAAACTCCCAAAACGAACCTCACCGCTTCCCAGCGAATTCCTGGGTTCTTGCTGAAGGAACTGGTTTAAGCTACCATAACGGTGATCTATGATAAATACTGGGGTTTCCTTTTTTGAACGCAACTTGAAACTGACTTCCTTAACCCGGAAACCCCGATCCCTAAACCGCGTTCCTTAACAAGAACCCAGCTTCCTAAGCACCGCCCCTCTTCCGCTTTCGCAAGGCCTTCGGCTCTGGGTTTAGGTTGAAAAGGCCTAGGTCTAGCACTTTTGGGGGGGTTCAGGGGTTTAGTGGTTTAGGGGTTTAGGGCTTGGGGTTTAGGGGTTTAGGGGTTTAGGGTTTAGGGGTTTTAGGGTTTCAGGGTTTCAGGGTTTTGGGGTTTGAGGGTTTCAAGGTTTGGGGTTTTGGGTTTCAAGGTTTTGGGGTTTAGGGAATGAGGGTCTGGGCTTCAGGGCTTGGGGTCTTGGGTTTGGAGTTTAAGGTTGGGGTTTCAGGTTTTGTATGCCATAGCATCATCTCACATTTACTGCTTGTATATCTGTAATCGGGTATGTCTATTGGTCCACTTTGGGGATATCTTCCATCAGAATACAGATTATATATTGAAATTTATAAAGCAATAGGCAACATATATTGAAGCAACTGATACTTTGGAAGAAAAGGAACAGATGATGATTAAGGATAGATTACACAGTCGACGTTGTTATATACTCACTTCTGGAAACAAGTAAGGCTATCATAAACTATTGAACCTGAAGACAGTAAAATCTACTCTAATATATGCGTCGAATAAAGGGATATTGATAAAACTGATGGTGGTACTCAAGTAAGTAAAGATGGGCTAAATTGTTGGCCTTGTAGATATAAGCGTAAGGCATTACACAAGCACACGAAGACAACAACCAATAAAGATAATGAGGTAGTTGTTAATGATATTGAAGATCGTAGTAGATCGGTCGCGGGGTTACCCCCGATGCTCAAACCGTATTGAAAACAAATGAGGCTGCTGCCCAATCAGTAGATGTAACAATATGCCGACACGGGATGAAAACAAACAGGGCGAAAAAACAACAACAGAGGTTGCAGCGGAAAGAATCGACAAATTGCAGAAGCAGGTAGAAGAATTAAAGTTTTGGAGAATGAGCGGTATGGGTTTCATTACATCTATCTTGTTGTGACAGGACAATTAGTCAAATGCCCCCCGCTTGAATCAGAAACAAGAGCTCCCAAATCTTCTACAGATTCATAAGCATGCCATTGCATCAGAAGATGGAAATTGCTTCAATTCAGAATTCGTTTTGTTGAAGCTTAAGAAATTTTAGCAGTACAATGGGAATGCCAGTGAAAGAAGAGAAGACATTCGTTGATTTTGAGCATATAGTGAACCGGATACTAGTTTCGTTGTACACTTACTGCTTCAAGCGCGTCTATACCGTTAACAAGAAGCATTACAACAGTCACTCTTTTGAATGTACCTTTTTCGTCGCGATTGCTTAGATAAATGCAGTTTAAGGGGATGGTGCTATGCATGCTAGTAGACTGGAGACAATCAAATGCACAAGATGCCATAGTAAACAACCTGCCGAAGAGTTCGGATGTAATAGATCGGGCCAACCTTGGCGTAACTGCATGAAGTGCAGAGCAAAAAGGAAAGAATACAAGAAAACCAATGTTGTAGATAAAACGCCTGAAGCAGAAGAAGTGGTTGATCACGTTAGCTGGTTAATGGTCTGTTTTCGGAGACGTACTTTATGATATGTGGCAAGTACAAAGATGGAGTAATGATTTACCTGTTGCTGACAAACCGGAACGAACAGCTGATTCTTGTTAGACAAAATGCTATGATGAAATTACAACACAAGCAAATATATATATATATATATATATATATATATATTAAAACTGCATTAGAGTTACAACCCTTAACCCCAAACCGTGAACCAAACTATGCAAGACCCGCCTTGCCCCTTTTGGGCTTTGGCACCTGGGTAGATATGGGTATTGGGAATACAAAAATATCTTCCTAAGATTGTAGCTTATCTTTTTTGGGGTGGGTGGTGCAAATAGCCGAAAATAGGCAAAGTATACCCCAACTAACCCTACGCCCCAAATCCCTCACTTGTCACATCGTCCTTTCCGGGAGCCTTCGCTATCTTCCCCAGGACCATGGGTTTCTTCGAGGGCGCCCGCCTCTTTCGCAACGTGGCCTTCGAGAAGTTTGTGTTTCGGGCTTCAGGCAGTTTGGGCTCAGGGGCTTAGGGGCTTGGGGTGTACGGCGTAGGAGAAAGCTCGTAGATAGCAGCCCTTAAAGTATGGAAGCACTACGTGAACCCTATAAATCCCACATGAACGTTAAGGCTCCTGACGATGATGTCTTCACATTTCCTCTGCAAATCCGGCATCGATGTCTTCAAACTCCTTACTATGATTGCGCTAGATTTTTCTTCAAGAGGGACAAAAAAGGAAGAAGTCTTCGGTGGATTCCAATCCCATGGGAAGCCTCTAGGGTGAAGGGCGCTGAGGTGTTGGGGCTTCGGGCTTCGGGTTAGGGCTTACTTGGAGGTTCATGGGTAGTTATAAGTAGGTTAGGGCTTGGTACTTGTGCAGCTCCGCGGCGTCATTCTGTAGGGGATCAAACTACCCCCCCCCCCCCCCCCCCCCAAAAAAAAAACTCAAAGGTTACTGACTCGACTACACAGAAATAGAAATTTGAAGCACCCCGAAGAGCCTTGCTAATGTCCCTGTAACTTGAAACCTTGGACCCCAAACCCTAAACCAGAAACCCCAAAATCCTAAACCCTTCAAACCCTCAACCGCCACCGCCGTCCCCAGAAAACCACACCTTCGCCTGCCCATCCGAAAAGCGCTCTCGAAAACGACTGGGCCACTCTCTCCATGCGTCCGGGCCCAACTCAAACCTGGGCGGTGTATTAAGCTTAGGGTTTAGGCTTGAGGATCCAGGTTTCGAGTTTCGGTGTTTTGTATGTTTTGGGTTCAGGGTTTGAGGTTTGCGGGTCTATTGACATTTAGGGTATAAAGCATTTGGCACAAAGGGCTTTGCATTTCTGGGTCTGATGTGAAGGATTTAGGCCGTATAACGTTCCGGAATTCAAGCTTACTACCAGTAGCACGTCCCGCATTTCCAAACAACATCTGTGCAGAGTTCTCGTGACATTAGCACCAACCCCAAACCCTGCAGGCCCTCTAATTCCCTACAAACCCTGCAGGCCCTCTAATTCCCTACAAACCCTGCTTAGAAACGATCCTGAACCCTGCAAAACCCTCTACACTCTGCACATGCCGCAAGAAACCTTCACTAACCCCAAGTCCTACTCCCTAAAGCTCTTAACGCTCAACCCCCACCCAACCCTACCCCTACACCCTAAACTAAGCCCGAAACCCAAACCTCAAACCCCCGCCTGCTCCCTAAACCCTAAACGCAGAACCCTAAACCCATAAACCCCTAAACCCCTAAACCCTAAACTCCTAAACCCTAAACCCCTAAACCCCTAAACCCCTAAACCCCTAAAACCCTAAGCGCAAAACCCTAAACCCTAAGGACTAAGCTATGCCCTTCCCTTACGTCCAGGTCGGAACCTGACGTTTGGCTCACGGCTGAAAGCTTAAGGCTAAGGTTTGAAGCGTTGAACTTCAGGAGCTATTGCGAAAGGGCCTTGGAGCACTTTAACTTTGTTAAGACTGAGAATTTGAGGGATAGGACCAATCCACAAGTCCAAACCCCAAACAAACCGTGCTGTACAACCCGTCTCAAAGCCATACAAAACCCTAGAAAGCACAGCACCACCAAATAGAACGTAATGCACTCCTACAGAACCTTATCAATGCCCATGGATAGATTGACTTAGAAGCCCGCTGCGAGGGAAAAGTTGAATCATGTTGAATCAAAATGACAACAAAACCCTCTAGCAAGCATCCCAGAAGCTCGGGGCCCGTGACCAAGGCATTCTCCAGACGTTTCTCGAAAGATTCCTTGTCGAAGTGCCTCCCAATGAATACCACTTCCTGTCGTCAGAAAATCAACTCAAGGGGGTTAGAGTTTAGGGTTAAGGTTCAGGGTTTCACGCATTTGGAGTCATACCGTGGTTAAGGCTTCGCAGATGGACTTGGGCCTTGAAGGGTTCCCGCAAACGTTTAGGGTTTCCAGTAACGGACTTTATCAGGGTTTGAGCATTTGGGGTTTAAAGATCAGAGGTTTGGGTCTAGCGCCTTTCCCTATGATTCTGGGTCGGATGTTGAGGGGTTTAGGGTTTAGGGGCTCAGGGTTTTGGATCTAAGGATCAAGGCTTCTGGCGCAGGGCTTTCGATGGTTTTCGGATCGACAAACCCACCTGGCGCATGTCTCCGTAGAGTGCCTCCCGATACTCGGGGGGAGTCTCCTCAGTTATACATAAAGGGTTTCGGATTCCGGGCTCCCCTCCAAGTTCGCTAGACCTGAAACTGTAGATCTTGTAGATCCAGGCCCCAGACCCTAGACCCTTAACACCCCGAGCCCTAAACCCAAAGCCCCAAAAGCATAAACCCTAAACCCTAAACCCAAAGAGCATAGGAATGCCCAGGATCGGCAGGCCACTCCAAGAGATCGACGTTGCCATGGAGCCAGTAAGGGCCGGCTTCAATTCTCTTCGTGCGGCCCGCCTCTGCAGATTTCTCGGGGTTTAGGGAAGTTTGGGGTTATGGATTTAGGGATTTCGGGTTTAGGGATTTAAGACTTAGGGATGTAGGGTTTAGGGATTCGGCCGCATTATGGGCCAGAGATTCAGGGTTTAGGGTTTGGGGTTTCGTGAAAACCCACGTGGAACCTCTGCGAAACCCCCATTGCAAAACCCTACAGCCTTTGGCTAGTGGAGCCATCAACCCCCGTAGAACCGCTATAGAACCCTTTCAGTGCCCCTTATGAAGCTGCTACGGAACCCTATATCCTAAAGCCAGGCTTGTCGGTCTCCAGCGATATGAGTCTAAACCTTCGGAGTCAAACTGAAAGCCCCAAGAGCCGCTGAAAAAGCCCTGAACCTCCAGACTGAAGAGCTTGGAGGTTCATGGGTGGTTATAAGTAGGGTTATAAGTCCCCTAATATGAGCCATAAGTATAGTTATCCTGCCTATAACCCCACTTATCACATCCTACGTTCACCTGGGGTCTGTGGGGCGATTTAGCATTCAGGGTTTGGGGCGGTTTAGGATTTAGGGTCGGGGCTTTTGGTTCAGGCCCAGGAAAGGGAGCCTGGTGCCAAATCAAGGATCTGTCCAGGCCGGCAACCCACAGAATACCCTTGGAGCGCATGATGCGATCATCAAGCCCATGACCTTGTGTGCCGTGCAGGGGTCAGGTGAGAGGTCTTTGTCACGCTCAGGATTTAGGGTCAGTCAGTGAAATTTCAGTGTCCAGGGAATTTGAGATTGGGCTGTGAAACAAAGCCACCCTGGATCCTATTCCCAAGCCTTATAGCCCACAGTCTTGCCCAACCGCCATCCAAGAGCAGATAAGGCCATCCAGTCGCTGCGGATGGAAGGGCCTCTGTACGCGAAACACGAGGCTGGAGATACCGTACCTTGGCGATTGAGGCTTCAGCGCTTCGTGTTCAGAAATTTTAGGGTTTGGGGATTATGAATTCAAAAAATTCTGGCTTTAGGGTCTTACTTGGAGGTGCATGGGTAGTTATAAGTGGGGTTATAAGTAGGATAACTATACTTTGTAACTCGTATTAGGGGACTTATAACTCTACTTATAACTAACCATGAACCTCCAAGTAGACCCTAAACCCTATACCCTTGTAGAATCCCTATATAGATCCCTTTGAAGGGAAGCTAGGGTCTTATTGCTTCGAGTTCCGGGTTCTGGGATTATAAAGGGCAGCCCAGGCGTCTCCTCCGTCTCGGGCACATGGTGGCCCTGCAGTTCTTGGTACCATCCCGGCATTTCCTTCGAAGCGATGAAGAGCTTAGGGCTTAGGCCCTAGGTTTAGGATATCCGATTTCGAGTTTGGGGCTTAAGGAGTTTAGGGTTGATGGACAGAAAACAGGCCACGAGGGATTTGGGGGGAGCTTCGACACTCCAGGTCCAGAGGGCGGGTGTCGTAACTGTTGTTTCGAGGCCTTGGGTCGATAGAGACTCAAGCTTTTGGACCCTGACGTCTGAGTTTGGAGTCTGGCATGTAGGGTTTTGGGTGTAAGGTTTGTGTTTAGAGATAATCTCCTGTGCTTCCTCCATGTTGAAGCTCTTGGTGTTGAAGAGCAGCTTGAGATCCACTTTCCTAGGCTTTTCACACGGAGCCGAGTACAAAACGTTGGGATGGTTGTCTGGGTTCTTGTCAAGGAGTTTAAGTCACCATAATAGCTATCTACGGTAAATAATATGGTTTCCTTATTCTGGTAACCTTTTCTTAAGTCCCTTTACAATGAACCCAGTTGCGCAGCGGGATTGTGAACTCTGAGAGGCTCCCCCGGGTTCGGGAGTCAGACCGACGCCGATGTGTTCTTGGGCTCGATTTAAACTATAGGGTTGAGGGTTTAGGGTTTACCTTACCATAACAAGCAAACCCAGCCTTTACCCCAAAACCCTATTCCATTAGTCTGTTTTTTTGCAGCTTTGGAAGTTATGTTTTTCGAGTTTGGGGCTTGTACAGGCAAGTGTTTTGGCTTACTTTGTCCTACAGCCCTGAGCCGTAATACCCGAAACCCCAAATCCTCAACCCTAAAACCCTAAACCCCAAGCCGGTTTAGGGTTTGTGTCGCAGTTTGGGGTCTAGGGTTTAGGGTTTAGGGTTCCTGAAATACCGCGACCCTGAGCCTGCGTTCCGGCTAAGGGATGTACTCTAAGTTACAACAATGGGGGCATCATCACACATAAGGTTTATTCCTAGTTATTCCGTCCCAGCTTCCCGAAGGTCGAACGGATGATCCGTGCCTTTGGGTTCAACCGTTTCAGGAGGCCCTCGACATGACAGATTCTTCGTTCCGCAAGCAAATCGACCTCTCAGGGCCGGCAACACTCAAGGATTCGGGCCAGAATTATTTGGAAGGTTTTGGGCTTTGGAGGGTTTGGGGGTTTTGGGTGCTTCGGGGTGTGGGATTGAATTCTGGGTTTAGGGTTTCGGGAAAACAGTACCTGGAGAACGGAGCCGCCATCGAAGCACGCCCTGAACCCTAAACCCCTGAATCCTAAAACCCTAAACCCTGAAGCCCTAAACTCGACTGATCCTTGGTTTAAGGGTTCAGGGTGTAGGATCTGCAGCAGGGATTTAGGATGAAGGGTTTGGGGCTTGGGGTTAAGATCCGGCCTTGTTCAAAACGATGATGTTCGCGCATTCTACCTGGAGCAATCACAAGTCGAAGCAACGACATCATGAGGTTAAGCTTGTTCCAGCGACATCCTAAACCCTAAACCCCAGAATCCTAAACAACCGTATACACTGGCAGACCACAATCCCAAACCGGAGCCCCGGACCTCCCCCTACACCACTCTCGACCGTAATGGCCCCTGAACCGGAGCGGAAAATGGAAGAACCCTACACCCTAAACCATGCAGACCCAGGTGCTTGGTCAACCAGAAGCTGCGCAATTGTGCGCCTCGCTCGGCTGCAGCGAACTGCAGGGTTAAGCTCCAGTTCAGGCTTGATGCTTTAGGGCCCAGGGCAGGAAACTTTTAGCTTTGGTTAGTAGGGAATGGAGGAATGGTAGTAATAGTAGTTATAATTGTACCCCATTCCTCCATTCCCTACTAACCAAAGGTAAGAACTTACAAGTAAGAGGAAGACCCCAGCCGATTGGGGTCAGCTCCGGTTTAGGGGACTTGGGCCCTTAAGGCTGAAAGCCTCCAGGTTTTGAGGCCCTGGAATCTACCGCATCAAGTCTCTCGACTGGTTTCAGGCTTCAAGGTTTAGGGCCTAGCATCGATGGGAAGGCTTTTCTCGGATATATATATATATATATATATATATATATATATGAGGTCAAGGGTTTCAGGATGTGCGGCAGAAGCAACAGCCAACGGACGAACCGCAGGACCCTCCAGACTGAAGCGCTGAACGAGCCGCGCATGCTTGCTTCCATTGACAGCTAGTGTCATTCTGAACATACGCCCACTATCGCTTTGATAATCCTTGACATCCGAATCCTACTCCCAGCCTGGGTAATTATACTTATAACCCTAGTTAGGGGACTTATAACCCCACTTACAACTACCTCTGAACCTCCCAGCCTAATCACTACAACACACTTTTCAACACAGAACCGTGTCGCCGTGGCACCGGTCGGACTCTTCTGCACCCAGCTCCTCCCTGTCAACGAGCATCTGACCCATCTCCTTACCATTGGCTAGTAGGGAATGGAAGAATGGTAGTAATAGTAGTTATGGGTTTAGGATTTAGGGTTTCGGGTTTAGGGTCTAGGGAATGGAAGAATGGTAGTAATAGTAGTTATCATTGTACCACATTCCTCCATTCCCTACTAACCAAAGGTAAGTCTCATAGTCCCTCAAGAAGTTCAGTGCATCCACCACGGTCACCAGGGTGTCTAAGCGGGCGACACTGCCAAGAAGGCTCTTACCGTCGTACTCGCTGACGAAGGTGGTGGCCACCGGCATAGGCTCGGAGATGCCAGTGCTTTCGATGAGGAGGTAATCGAAACGACCCTCCACAGCCAGCTTCTTGACGTTCTCAATCAGATCTTCCCGCAGCGTGCAGCAGATGCAGCCGTTCTGCATCTCCACCATCTTGTCCTTGCCTTTCAATATCTCGGCGCCGCTTTTCACCAGGAGGGCATCAATATTCACCGAAGCCATGTCATTCCTTACTTGGGTTAGTAGGGAATGGAGGGATGGAGTACAATTATAACTACTATTACTACCATTCCTCCATTCCCTACTAACCAAAGGTAAGCCAAAAGTCCGACTTAAACCCTAAACCCTAAACCTGTAAACCCTCAACCCTAAACCTGTAAACCCTAAACCAATGCAAGATTCACGATCACCGCCACCCGCAGGCCCTTCGGAAGCGCGGACGTTTCGGAGCCGGAGCTGTGAGGTATGATTATCCTACGCCCTTTTATGGTAAATTATACGGTATCCTACTCTGAACCCATATTCCAACCGTTCTGGAGTTCCCTTTAGGGCTTCAGGGCCTCGGCCCCCTTGGACTTCGGGACCTAGGGCTAGGAATTGCGGTTCTGGGATTTTTGGGGTGTAACTCCCATTGCTAGTGTTATTGCGATTATTGTTACTGTCATTCTTGGTTTATACTATTACTTGTTTATTATTACTATCATTCTTATTGCTTTTATTATCATTGTGATGAAATGAGTTTGCGTCCATCCATGCATGCAACCTTCGTTGCGGCAGGCACTGAGGTGCCCAAGTTTGCGAGAGAGCTTGAGTTAACTCTACACTTCCTCATACGATGTACAACTGATGAGTTGACCAGTAGAGCCGAACTGGAGCACTTTTAGCTCAGCTTGTATAGCAGGTTTGAAGTACCAAGCTTTGACAGGTCGATTTGTGCGAAAACAGAAAGACAATTCGCTGCCATGGTCGCCTGAGCTCTGTTCCACTCTATCGAGACTACGAGTTTACTGCATGTATTCTCAGCCCCCGGAACACGAAGCTCCACAGGTTATGAGCGCCCAATCCACGCAAAGTGGTGCAGGGCAAGGCCTCCTGGCACAAGCTGTGCGAACCTACGGTGGAATGGATGCGGGTGGAGCCCGCCCTGTGACACTGGATGGTGGAGCGGCGATGAATCGAGCTATGGCCGAAGGCCAGGTCCTGTTGAATGGTGTGGCGACTGGTGGCCCCTTTGAAGGTAGCCAGTTACCACATCATCCGGAAGGCAGACCTGGTACGACGGGCTCGCGAAATGAAGAGGTGGTTGGTGCAGATGAGCCTTCATCGTCTACGCGGCCTGTGGCCGAGCTGGATGCTGGAACTGCTGCCAGGAGAGCAGTGGGGATGGATGCAGCGAAAGCCACGGGTGGCGGATCGCAGCTGAACACCGGAACGGGCGCGAACTCGGAAACCGGATCTGGCGCGAACGGACGAAGGTTTCAGGGAGAGGCTTTGGGTTTGAGCAGGCCAGGTCAGCAACGACAGCCCAGCCCTCGGCACTACAGCATCGGAACACCACCCAACCAACCAGCAGCAGCACCATCGCAGCAGCCTGTAACGCAGCAGCAGCCTCAGGCAGATCAGCCGACGACCTCTACTACAACCTTGCCTGTAGCTGCAGATGTTCGTGAGCCCAGTGTGCCGATGCATGGAAGCGAAGATGTTCGACAGGACTTCCTGCAGCAACGAGCCCATGCACAACTGGCGGAACAGCGTCATGCTTTGGTGACTGCTTTGCATTCCCGAGCCTCCAGGTTGATCGCCGAGGATGATGCGGAGATCCTGGAGACCACGACCAGGGTTGAGGCCAGCGAAGTGACGGAGCGCACGGGGGACCAGATGTTGTGGTTTACGAGGATCAAGGGTATGGTTCAGAGAGGCTTGGAACCTGTCTTTGGACGTATGAAGCCCCTTCCTTCTGCCTCACCTACCTCCTGGTATTCCCAGTCTCCTACCTGGTCGTTGGCAACACCTTCCTTCAACAATCCCGAGCACCCGCGCATGTCTGAATTGCAGCCGAGGACCACGACCTTTACACAGCCTGAACGTGCGGGAGACCAATCTTCGAATGGGTCCCTGCAGCCGGAGGTGGTTCAGGAAGAAGTCAAGAAGGCGGTCCAAGTTGCACTTCAAGGTCGGGACGGGAAGATGAATGAGCTTCAGGCAGAGAATGCGGAACTGAAGCAACTGCTGATGGCGATGATCGAAGCGGGTTCGGAGAGAGCCGGAGCGGACCAAGGACCTACCGCAGGTGGAAGAGCGAGCGCCTCTACAAGTGTGGGGGTAGAGCCAGCTCGAGCGGCAGGAGACCAGTCGGCTGGGCGAGGGGATCTTCGAGCTGAAGGAGTGTATGCAGGCCGTGACCTACGGGCTCCTCCTGGACTACCTGTTCCAATTCGGGGACGGGGAGGTGATCCAGGAAGTGGAACGAGGACTGAGGCGACTACGGCGAGGTCTCCGAGTCCAGCGGCGGCACGAACATCAGGTGGCGGCTACGAGAATGTCGCAGGAAAGCCTGGTGGAGTGCCCAGCGAGGGCCCAGGTGGCAGTCGTGGTGGCAGGAATGATGAGCGAAGTTCCGTGGCGCCGATGGACCTTTTGGCCCAGGGGATCCAACAGCTACAGCAACTGCACTTGAAGAAGGAAGGGCATGACCCAGAGTTGCTGAAGGGTTCCTTGGATTTACCGAAGCTGCCCGAGCCCTACCAGGACAACAGTGCGGTGGCGTTCCTGGAGTGGGTGTACGAGGTGGGCCAGCTCATCGGCTCAATCACGGACAAGGCAGCGGTGTGGTGGGCGGCCAATCTCGAGCTAGCCATGACAGCCTACCACAAGTTTCAGGCGGAAACACCTTTGAAGAGGTTGACGGTCCAAGTGGGTGAAGATCCAGACGTGGACGGAGAAAAGTGGTCTCGGCTTGAGAAGCGGGTGATGGCGCTTCTCCTGTCTTCGATGACGTCGACTATCAAGGCTGAGATCACAATGCTGAGGATCAACCGCGTCAAGGACTGCCTCTTCAAGCTCTACACAACGTTCTCTCCAGGTGGCGCGAGCGAGAGGGCGAGCCTGATCAAACAGCTCGAGTACATCCAGCCCCAGACCAATGTGGTCGACATGATTTCCGCCCTGAGGCGATGGAAAAAGCATGTGGGCCGTGCTTCCGAGATGGGAGTTTCCCTGCCCGATGGCTCCGTGTTGTTGGTTGCTTTGGAGGGAGCTACGAGACACATCACTGAGAACAACAAGGACGTGGCCTTCAAGCTGAACATGGCCAAGCAGGAGCTCAGACTCCCATACCAGCCAACCTTGAGTGCTGTGATGACGTTTGCAGACCATGTGGTTGCGGAGCTCCAGCAAGTGATCCCCATCAACTCCAAGGACTCCCAAGCCAAGCTCAAGGGTGCCAATGTGGATCCTGGATCTCCGGCGTCTTCCTCGACCTCGCCTTCTGGGAAGGGACAAGGGCAGAAGCAGCCTTGCAAGTTTTGGTTGACACCGGACGGTTGCAGAAGGGGATCTGCTTGCAAGTACGGCCATGTGTTTGCGACCAAGGAGGAGAAGAAGGCACGCTGCTGGACCTGTGGGGCGACGACTCACCGACAGGCCGACTGCCCTACAAAGTCCGGCTCCGCTACCAAGGGGAAGGGTGGTCCTAAGGGATCTACTGAGAAGAGGTCGCAAGGGGAACCGACTACACCCACTGTGGCCCAGGCGAACGTGATGAACAACCCTGAACCCTCTACGGCTACCATGAACACCGCCTCGACCTCTGCAGCGTCCACATTGGAGCATCCGCTTACCACCGGTACTACCACATCTTCCAGCGAACCTTCATCGGCGGCCTCAACCATCCTCTTCGCGGATGCGCAGCAGGCTCAGAATGCGGGTGAAATCAGAGAGCTGGCAGAGCAGTTCCTTGCTAAGATCAAGCGCTTGGCACCGATGCAGGCGAAGACGGATGATGCAGTGATGGACTTGGAGCTGCTACTGAGGTCGCAGGGCCTGAATGAAAGCCACGGAATGGCGCTATTGGATAGCGGCGCTTCACATGCCTACCGGGCTCCTCGCTCCAGGGAGGAGGCATCAACGGCTCGCCGGGTCAGGGTGCAGCTGGCCGATGGGAAGACAGTCTACCTCCGCCAGAACAAGGGAGGCACCCTCCTCTCAGAGGAGGAGCAGGGAGGAGGAATCATCCTGCCACTCGGGAGCCTTGTCAGCTCCCTTGGCTGCGAACTCAAGTGGAGCAGAAAGAAGGGGCTCCAGGTGCGACACCCGGTCCACGGGATCTTGCCCACGAAGCTCGTGGGGGATACGCCGGTGCTGCGTGAAGCTGAAGCACTGCAACTCATTGCGGATTTGGAACAAGTGGAACTGGGAAGACTTGAGAAGCAAACTGAAGAGGGAGTGCTGAAGATGATCGCGTCGGAAGAGGAGACGGTCACTACGTGGATGGACCATGCTGAAGCTTTTGTAGAGACCGGTGAACGGGCAAACTTGAGGCGGATGCTGTTGGACCCCGAAGCTCCTCTACAAGCTCCCTCGGAAGAAGACATTGCAGCTCTTCTGGGTGTGGACGATAAGCTTTTCCTCTCCGATGAGGCAGGTGCCCACTACTTGAAGGCACTCCCATGGAACCGAACCACGAGAAAGAGGCTCCTCAGGACAAGGTGGATCGTTCACCTGTACAATGGAGATGAGCAGGGCGCTGAGTTTTCTCACGCCGAGTCTGACGATGTTACCGTGGTTCGAATGGACATCCGGAACAACAAGGCCTTCGACCTCCGCACCTACACGCCGGCCGTGCGAGCTCTGATGTGGGCGGCGGCAAGGGGACAGATCGAGGGTATACTTGGAGGCCCACCTCGAGGATCGGAGTCTGGCTCTATGCTGTACAGGCGGATGCTTCTCCTTTGGCTGGTCGCACACACCGGGGCAACGGCTTCAGGCTTATGTTCGCCCTTCTTCATGATGGAGGCTCCAACCTGGCATCCGATCTGGACGAGCTTTACCTGGTCGCGCTTCAAGGACGAGTTCCGGTACCTGAAGTACCATGCGGTTGCGGCCAGAGATGGTGTGTACTTTATGGCGGGCACGCTTCAGCTGTCTGATGGAGTGTCGGTGAGCGAAGGGGAGATCCCGGACTTGAACTACAAGACCCCTGCATCAGCGTGGCCCGTCGAGCTCAAGACAGGGTTGGCGCATTCAATGGTGCAATGGAGGCAACATGACCGGCGCAGGGAAGAAGTGACGATGTGCAAGCTCGGTGGGCCCAGGGAGATGAACGCGAAGGATTTGGCCTACTGGGAGAAACATGTACGAAGCGGGCATGTTCCTTATGATCGCAGATGCCAAACTTGTGTTCGGGCAGCAGCGACCGGACGGGCACATCGACGGTGCCTGGCCCCTTCGGCCTACACCTTAGGCCTGGACATCGCCGGCCCTTTTCGCACAAAGGGCGAGAATGCTGATGAGAAGGGCTTGCGCTACCTACTTGTGGGGGCGTACTCACACCCACGAATCAACCCCGACAAGGACAAGGACCTTCCTGAGGAGGAGGACGGTGAGTTTGAAGCCGAGATCGATCCGTTCGAGATTGACGAAAGGGCAGCGGTACCAGTTGAGGAGGAGGACGATGATGAGCAGAAGGCCATGAATGAGCGGTTCAAGGCCCTGTACAAGGACATCGGTGATGAGATTGAATACCAGACCCTCCACTTTGTGGTGCCGATGAAAACTCGGATGTCCAAGGAAGTACGGTCGCGGATTCAGCAGATCTATCTTCAGCTTCGGCAACAAGGGCTTCCTCTGGTGCGGATCCACAGCGACCGGGGCAGGGAGCTCATGGCTAAGGAGACCAGGGCATGGATGGCTGACCGGGATATCCTGGCTACGACTGGAGAGAGCCAGCAGCCTCAACAAAACGGTCGGGCGGAGGCACTGGTCCGGGTCATTAAGGGCAGGGTCAAAACGCTCCTTCGAGCAGCTTCCTTGCCTATGTCATGCTGGCCACTTGCTGCACAGTTCTCTGCCAGGAGACAACGAGACTTGGCACTCGGAGACCGAACCGATGAAACAGTGCCGTTTGGGGCACCAGTGCACGTGAAACACAAGAGGTTCGGAGAGGGTGGAAGTTATGACCTCGCTGAACGCTGGCGCTCAGGCAAGTTCGTTGGGTATTCTTCGGACGTTCGTGGAGGCAGAGTGGTCCGTCATGATGATGGAGGCTACACGACGTCGGTGCACATCAAGCCGTATCTTGTGGACTCCGATGATTTGGTCGAGCACGGGCCCTTTGAAATGGAGGTTGAAGATCCGGTGAGGAGGATTCGAGGGAAGTCCCGATTGGCCCAGCTAGACACCGACCCGAAGGAAGAAGTAGATCGCAAGGCGAAGGAGCTTATGGATTCCGAGCGCTACGACTTGGAGAGCGTGGTTGTGATGTGGGAGCTCTTGAAGCCCTACGCGAGATCTACTACAAGAACGACCCAGGGTGAAGGACTCCAATGGTTGATTGGCCAGTATACGCATGGAGGCCAATGCGGGGCCACCTTGGACACGGATCGGTTCCCTTGGGCTACCTTATACCTGGTGAAGGCGTTCACCCACCTCACTGGGGAAAGTGATTTCTCATCGATCTTGATGACGGAGGACGTTGGGATGAGGATACACCGCGATGTCCACAACCACGCCGACCGCAACAACGTGTTACTTCCTCTACTACCTTGCGAGCGTGGAGGTGGAGTTTGGGTTGAGTCCGAACCGGAGGACTACGATGTGGACGATGAGTGGCGGCAACTACCAAAGGGAGATTGGCGTCGTGGAAGGGTGATGGATCTACATCCTGGAGTTCCCATCAAGATCAACCCCAGGAAGTTCCACCAGACCGAGGACTGGGAAGGAAAACGGTTAGTTATGACCTCATTCACGCCAAGATCTACCAGATTGAAACCTCCCGCCTACATGAAACTCCTGGACTATGGTTTCAATCCACCTCCTCTACCACCACAAGTCCCAGAGCAACTGCAGCGGAACATCCTCAAGATGATGAACCTGTCTGGACCCAGGGACGGCCCCGACGCAGTCATGTTCCAGATGAAAGACCCTGGGGAAGAGCGACAGGAGAGGGCCCAGGAAATCAGTCAGGAGTTGCAGCAGCTACAGGATGATGTACTTGGGAGACTCCAGGAACGACGTGAATGGCTTCAACAGTTTCTGGCTGAGGAGGAGATCCTGGCTGAGGAGTTCAATACTGTTGGAGAAGCCATTCGGGATGAGATCAAGGAGATCAATGTGGTGGTCCGGGAACTTATCCAGGATGTTGAGGACCAAGTCCGGTCAGTGGAGAAAAGGTGCAATGACCTGTACCTCAAGGTGGCCAATGTCACGGATGACAAGGAAATCGGCGACATCGAGGAGTACTTGATCAACCTCAAGAAGGATTTGGACGTCACCCTGGATGTTCCCTTGGACCAGGTGAAGTCCAATCTTGAGGAATGGATCGAGCCCATGAACAAGGAGCTTACGAATCTGGAGGCCAAGACGAATGCGATCGAAGCCCGGCCCATGGCGGATGCGAAGAAGCTTGTGAATGATGGGTCGCTTATACTCATCCCGGGCAAAGTCGTGTTTACGGTCAAGCCTCCAGCTCCTGAGACCAAGGCCGAGAAGAAGTCAAAGGGGGCGCGCTGGAAACGCAAAGCCAGGATCGTGATATGTGGCAACTTAGCCACTCAGTCCTTGAATGGGCAAGAGCTGTATGCAGCTGGCGCCTCTGTTGAGGCGCTCCGCCTGGCTTTGGCACTTGCGTCCAGCCTTGGATGGCATGCAGCCGCCACTGATGTCTCAGCGGCTTTCCTCCAGGCCGAGTGGCCATCGGATAGGCCGACGTATGGAGTGATACCCCCCCGGATACTCGTGCAGGCGAAGCTCGTTCCGGACAACGTTGTGTTTGTGGTGAAGAAGGCGCTCTACGGTTTGCGTGAAAGCCCAGCGCTATGGGCTAACCACAGAACAAGGATTCTGAAGGAGGTGAGCGTCGAGGCCCCTGGTGGAAGGGTTTGGCTAAAACCGCTGATCACGGACGGGGAGCTTTGGATGATCCTACAACTACCACCTGATGCTGAACGACCCCAACTCCGAGGACTCCTGGTGACCTATGTGGACGACCTGTTGTACTTGGCTGCTAGGGCATTGATCATCCTCCTCCACACCAAGATTGCGGAGTTTTGGCCGTGCTCAGCACTCGAGTTTTCAGACCAGGGTATCCGTTACCTTGGAATGGAGCTGTTTCAGGAGGAGAACACGTTCACCCTTGGCCAGGAGGCATATGTTGCCAATTTGGTCCGACTTCATGGGCTGGACCCGGGGGAGAAGGCAGGTCTGCCGTGCCCCAAGGAGTGGATCCAGGACACCGACATGGATGGCGAGGCCGAGAACTTCAGCGCCGAGGAGCTCACCCGGGCTCAGAAGATCACAGGTGAATGCCTATGGCTTGCTTACCGTACTCGCCCGGATATTCTCTACGTCACGAACTATATGGCCGGAATGACAGCGAAGAAGCCGGTGAAGGTCTACAACGTGGGCTTGAAGGTTGTGGCCTACTTGAACGCGACTGCAGGTCTCAAGTTGAAGGTCGAAGCCGAGGCAGAGCCAAAGCAGTCCACAGAGCCAAAGCAGTCCACAGAGCCGAAGCAGTCCACAGAGCCGAAGCAGTCCACAGATCCAAAGCAGTCCACAGAGCCGAAGCAGTTCACAGCGCAGTCCACAGAGCAGTCACACGACGCAGGCTTCAGGGTTAGGTTGTCGGGTTACTGTGACGCCTCGTTTGCGCCATTCGGTGGCAAGAGCTTTGGCTGCAGTCTGGTCATGGTGGGGCGTACGCCCATTTCCTGGAAAGCAGGTAAGCAGACGATGGTGGCTATGTCGGTTTGTGAAGCTGAGCTCATGGAGGGTTCTACGTGTGCGTTGCTGCTTGAGTCCACCCAGGCCATGCTGCAGGAGATTGTCCCCAATCTGGCAGTCCCCAAGCTGTACATAGACAACATGGCGGCCCACAACATCATGAACGGTGCCACAGGAAGCTGGAGAACCAGACATTTGAGGATTCGCCACTCCTATGTTCTAGATCGTATTGCTGGTGGACAACTGCAAGTGAACCACTTGGCTGGAGAAGATCAACCCGCAGATTTGCCTACCAAGTTACACAGCAAGGTTCGCTTGTTGCACCTACTTGGAACATGGAATATGGTGGGCATCAGTGATCTGGACGGTAAGAAGGCGGTTCAGTGCTTGAAGTTGGGCTGCCTGTTTCTTCTTTTGCTGGCGGTGCAGTCACTGGCGGTGGCGGCTGAGAAGGAACCTTTGCAGGTCACGGGAACAATGGAGCTGATCACAATGCTTATGCTGTCCTGTGTTGCTGCTATCGCGATGTGGGAGGCAGCAAGGGCATGCTACAAGTGGATGGTTCCAGCGTGCTGTGGATCGAAGAGGGCGAGGAGAATCCAAAGGCTACGTGAATTGGCGAAGGCGGCAGCGGAGGCTGAGATAGAGAAGTGGGCGGAACAGGAGGACATCGTGAACTCGGAGCAGATTGCAAGGACTCTACGGGGAGTTCTACGCGAGGAGCGGGAGGATGTAAGACCCTCCACTACAGCGAGTGCTATGACTCCAAGAACACCAGAGGGACCATCAGAGCCCTTGGGAACTCCGTCCCGAACCAGTGTGTTTGGGGGCACTCGACCATCAACACCCCCGATTCCACGGAGGAGAACACCTTCACCAACGCCGAGCCCCTTTCGTGGAGATCCCGGCCAATTTGAACGTGAACGTGTGATCAAGGACGTTCTTGAACTGCTCACGGTGAAGAGCTTGAAGATTGGTCTGGAGGCGGAAGGAAGGGCCGTGACCGGCCTGAAGGAGGACCTGGTGAAAAGACTGGGAATTTTCCTGGGTGATGAACCGCCACCGGATGGGCGACCTACCACCAGGCAGCTCCGCTACGTCCTATATGTCTGGCGACATCAACGGCTCGCTGGAAGAACGGAGCTAACGTGGGACATCCTGGCTTCGAAGACCAAGGTTTCCCAATGGCTTCATCAATGGAAGGACGCTTGAGTTGTGACCTTCGCCGCAGGCTGAGGTCAAGGAGGAGTGATGAAATGAGTTTGCGTCCATCCATGCATGCAACCTTCGTTGCGGCAGGCACTGAGGTGCCCAAGTTTGCGAGAGAGCTTGAGTTAACTCTACACTTCCTCATACGATGTACAACTGATGAGTTGACCAGTAGAGCCGAACTGGAGCACTTTTAGCTCAGCTTGTATAGCAGGTTTGAAGTACCAAGCTTTGACAGGTCGATTTGTGCGAAAACAGAAAGACAATTCGCTGCCATGGTCGCCTGAGCTCTGTTCCACTCTATCGAGACTACGAGTTTACTGCATGTATTCTCAGCCCCCGGAACACGAAGCTCCACACATTGTTATTAGTATTCTTGCTACTACTAGGGGCCTCTTGGTTCTGGAGCATGTGGGTGAGAAGGGTGGTCTTCCCGGCCCCCAGGAAGCCGCTGAGGACGGTGACCGGGAGCAGGGCCTCCCCGGGCTCTGCGCCATGGCCCGCTGCGGAAGGCTCACCGAGCATTTGCAACGAATCCGACACCCTAAAGGCCTATAGAAACCCTAAAAAAAACAGGGGTTTGGGGTTTCGGGTGTTGGATAAAACCCCCCCAAAAAAAACCAGGGTTTAGGGCAGCTTAGGGCTTTGGATTTCGAGTTTCGGGTTTGGGATTAAGGGGCTTAGGGTTTTGGGTTGAGGGTTTCCGCACAAAGAACTGGAGCCCCGAACCCTCAACACTCATCCGACTTGAGCCCGAATTCTTGGACAAGTTGCGCAGGCGGCCACTGGCAGCTCTGGCTGCAGTGGCTGTTCCAGGGATGGTGGTGTAGCCAAACAAAAAGCAATGCACGAGAGTGTAACTTTCTGATCAAACTGCACAGCCATGGAGGAGGTGCCCTGTCTTGCTATGGTACGGCCAACAGCGAAGCTTGGGCTCAGAAGGAACATACTGCAGAAGCGGGTTTCGGGTTCAGGCGAAGAAGCGGTGGGTTGGCACGTACGGTTCTTGGGGCTCAGTGCTTGCAGTTCATACCTCAGACAATCCAGAACGCGAAACCGAAAAGCCTCAGTGAGGCCTTCACCCGAGACCCTGATCCGAAGCACTTGAGCCCTAATTACAACCTTTGAATCATGAACCCGCAAGAGCTATAGGTCTCAGTTGCAAATCCACAGCCTTATAGGCCTTGAATATTGAAGGCACAAACTCCGGGAATGCCGAGAGTCTAGAAACCAGAGTCATCTAGCGAATCTAGCCCGACATCGAAAGCAGCATGCCGGCTCTGTCAAGAACATCAGAAGGGTGCACAACACAACGCTCTGCAAGCCTTCGGGATGCTTTAAAGGCCCAGGAGAACCCCCATCCTCCTGGAGCTCGCATCTGCCAAGGCCGCCATGGCTCAGGCGTTGGGAAATCGGGTCGGACCTAGGGCTCATAGGGGGCACAGCTTCGAGTCGAGTGCCGGGTGGGGGGTGGGGGGGCCTTTTGGGCGTCTTCTGGGACCTCCGAGACTTCTGCGGCTCATGTCAGGCAGGTCAGTTGACTCAGGGCCGGTCCTGCATCTATGCCCTCAGAGTTCACTTGACGGTGGAGATATTTGAAGCTTGGATTCTTGGGGTTCTGGAGTTCGCACCCCTCCGATCTGCTCGAGGGACATGGCCAAACACAGCTCGAGCATTACGGGCGTAGAGTGACAAGCCGAACGCCTGGAGTGCTTCCTCGCATAGATGCACCTCGTCCCTAAGCAGAAATGGCATGAGGGTCTACAGTGCACCTGCTCCCTGATCCCGGACACGTCGGCAAGCTGGGAAGTAGAAGTCAGGGGCGCCACCGTAAACGGAATTGATCGTAAGTAAGTCCGGGTCAAAGCGGTGTGACAACGGTAGGCACATGTTACCACGGCGACGGGGGTTTAGAGGTTCAGGGTTTGCTTCCGAGGGGCATGGAAAAAGTCTGCAAACTCCCGAGCAAACGGCATGAGCAGCTTTTCCTGCCTGCGTTGCACGTCTTCGTCCCATCCTGTGCGAGCCTGGAGGCGAGAGGTGTCTCACAACCCTCGCACTTCCACAGTCCCACCGCCAAAGACCGAAGCTGAAACGACCAGCTCTGGCTTCAGTGGATGTTCGAGGGCTGGTGGGGAGGTACAGTTGACAAGAAATGCTCTGTGAGAGTACTTCGCTCAGGACCGAAGGTTCGAAGTCTCATAGAACCGTAAACCCTAAACCCTAAGCCCTAAACCCTAAGAATCAGAACCTGGTCTTCTGCACGAACGTAAACCCCCAAGTCTGCTCAAGCAACCCCCTCTGCAGAACTGTGCCCTACATACTCATTGCTTTGAAGGAAAGATACTTTGCGGGGGTGGGGGTGAAAGCTTGAGTGCGTATCGATGTTGCTTGTGCCTCACAACTACTGAGCCTCGACGCCACTCAAAGGCCATGAGACCCAGAAGATCCAAGAAAAACAATGCTGAGCCCCCTCGACTCCTGGTTCGAAACTCCCCCGCCCAGCAAAACCTTCAAACGTCTCCCTTTTTGCAGCCTGAGGACCTGACGGGTAACGGCCCACCCTCGGAGCCCTTCGTCGAGGCTTCCCCCGACTTCCGGCCTGCAACAGAGCATTGGGCAGACACCGCTTCCCATTTCAAGGAGCCCGCGGGATAGAAGTGGCAACTTTGGAAGAGACGATGCGGCTCTCAGGCCTGTGAGGGACCCAAGCTCAACGAACCAGGGAGGCACGCAGCCATCAGCTCTTTTTTGGCTCTTCAGCGCACGTTGCCGAATCAAATGTCGCATTCCACTCCTTGCTTGCAGATCGCTGGGGGGGTTTGCAGCGGGTTGCCCTCCAGAACCAACACCTTCAGCCCTTCCAGCCCCTGGAACGCGCCCGGCTCCAGGCTCTGAAGTTGGTTGCCGTACAGAGACAACGTCTTCAGCTCTTTGAGCCCCTGGAACGCGCCGGGCTGGAGGCCCCGGAGTTGGTTGCCGGTCAGACGCAACCCCTTCAGCTCTCCGAGGCTTCCGAAAGCCTTCGCTCGAAGAGTCAAGAGCCGGAACTTGCTGAGCCGCAACGCGCCGAGAGCGCTGAGGCGCTCGAAGGACCGCAGAGTTTCGGGCTCCGGGATTTTGCGGTCCGCCGGGCACAGAGTGCAGGAGATCTGGAGCACTCGCAGCTTCGGCGCGAGCTGCGCCAGCGCGCCCAGCTGCCCGAGCTGGGCCGCATCCTCCAGGGACACCTGCATCTTCGTCAGGTCGGCGAAGGCCACCTGCGCACACACGATGAGCGCGCCGTTTTCTTGCTGCCTAACAGCGACCCTCCGGCGTCGTCGTCGGCCGTAAATCCCCGAACACTCCAAAATCGAAATGGGGTTGACAACATGATGGTCATTCATGGATGGATGATGGCATGCAGCTTCGGAATCGGCGAAATACAGAAAGCCAGCTTCGTACGATGGTGCATGGCTAGTTCAGGGAGCGGGCTAGTTCAGGAATCCTTCGATGCAGGAGGAAACCTTCTGTACGAGGACCGGGACCTTCGAAGACTTGACATCTTGGTGTATCCTTTCCGACAGTTCTGATTCGAGAGCCCAAAGTCAGTCCGCTGCATGCTGGACATGTGGGGTGAAGCGCACGCACGCTGTGCCTCAGAAGACATGCACTGTGTGCGACACCGTGCAATCCAAAAAGCAAGAAACAGAGAAAGAGAGAGAGAGAGAGAGAGAGATTGAAAAAACAACTGCGAATAACAAAACGATGTCAAGAGCTGCGCCTGCACCTGCGGTGTCACGTGTGGCATCGTGCCCAACGGACTCTTCACCAGAGCTTCTGCCAGGCGCTGGGGCATTTTCTCGTCCAGGACTGCCAGTGTGGAGAGAAGGTCACCTGAAGAATCCGGCAGTCGCCAGACCTCCCGCACAGCGTCCACGTCGAATCGCCCGGCGTCCTCTTGGTTAAGGTTGCTGCGGATGTCCTTCAGCAAGCTCAGCGCGGTGCTACTGCTCGCTTGGTCCAGCAAGGTCTTGACCGAGAATGCAAGGCTGTAGCCTTCCATGCCTAACTGGCTCTGCTTGTAGTGCCACTGTGTTCGAATAGTCTCGCTGCAGCTTGGAGCTGCTTGTCCCATGCAGGCTAGCAGCTTCACCGTGCCGGCTGGCGACAGCAGGGGAGGTGGGTGGACTTCTTGCCCTGACGCCATGTCAATGGTTTTCGTTCCACCGAGGCTTTGCTCACGCACTTGCTTGCACAGCTGCCCATGGCAAGTTGGGAGCAGCTCACATAGCCCGTCCGCGGACGCAAGGACGGCGCCTTCGGCTATGGTGCTCACATTCAGGAGCGAACATCCGTGCAGCTGAGCTGCCCAGGCAGCTGGGCTATCAACCGCCTCGTACTGCATGACCACGGTGTGCCATTGTGAGGACGAAAACCCCCACTCCCGCGCCTTCTGGCGGACCACCACTGTGAACTGGGAAGCGGCCTCCATCTGGCCCTGGATTGGGGTAATCTGCACCGAAAGGGGTTCATCTCCGAGGGCTGAGCTGTCGTTCGAGCCGTGGTAGGCACCACAGATGCTGTAGCGCCACCTAACCAAACCGCTCTCCAAGCAGCGCCCGTGCCCTTGCAGGAGCTGCAGGTCTGCCTTAGTGGCTGGAGACCATTCGGACCAGTTGGCGCGGAAGGCCTCAGCTGTCGCTCCTTTCTACTGGACGGCACCGCTCTCTCAGTCCCTCTCATTTTCCCTATCTCTCTCTCTATCTCTCTATCTCTATATCTCTCTCTCTCTCTCTCTTCCTCTCTCTCTCCCCTCCCTCCGTTAAGTCCATGAATCCTAGAAGCCCTCTACCCCAAACCCTCCGCATACAAGCCGGAAGCAGCACGAGCCCAGGCACCGGGTCCGGCAGCATCGGCATCACGAGCAAGCGAAGCGTGTCAAAGGCAAGCGGGTCGTACTTCGAGACGGAGATGACCACGTTTCCCTGCAAATCGGGCGTTTAGCTTGAAAGCTTAAACATCCCACAAAAACCTCTGCCGCCACCCTTCAAACTCAAGAGATCGTCAGGGAACCCAACTCTCTGTTCCCGCCTGCACGTCCAGGGAGCTCTCGGTCTTCAGCACGAAGCTGCCGCTGGCGTTCTGTCCTACGAGCATGGCCATCGCGTCGCTTGGAGGTGGCGACCCCTGCCTGAAAAAGATGGGCGTGGCCTCCGCCTCGAACTTTTGGCCTCCCGTCTCCAGCTCCAATGCGAAGCTGAGGGTAGCGAGGTGGAAGGCCCAGTCTGGCTGCACTCTGCCGAAGGGGAGCTGGAGTTGGCCCGGCTTCATCTCCACGTCGTCCCTGCACTGAGTCGTCTTGCCTCGCTTGGCCTCCTCTGCCTCTCCAGCGGCTCGCACCTCCTCCAGCCGACACCCGCTCAAGCGGCCCGTGAGATTCTGCTCTGCAGCTTTCAGTGAGGTTGAGAGATTCTGGGGGAGGTCGCCCGCTTCCAAGCCTTTCCTGTCGGCAAGGACCGCGTAACAGCCTCCTGGTCCGACGTAGGACTCGAGGCATGCCAGGTCGTGGCCACAGTCCGCAGAGCAGCTCTGCACCGTCGCGTTCGGGCGGTCCCGGTAAGTCGTCCAAAGCTGCCCCAGAGCAGCGGGTCCGTGGCTGCGGGGCCACGGCAGGCCCAGGAGGAAGTCGGCAAGCTGCACTTCGAAGCGAAAGTCTTGGAGACCTCAGGGAGCCAAGCAAAAGCGCCCCTGCCTTTAGAATACACTACACCTATCTACACCTCCAAGCTCTTCAGAAACCCATGACAAGCATGATCGCGCTGGCCTTCTGGGATGCTGAAGACCGATCCGGGCAAGGAAGACCAGGCGATGGTTCTCTGGAACTCCTGGGCGGTGATCCGGAGGGCTGCCGGCATCGTCGCCGATGGCGAGAAGCGCACTTCATACGTGGTTTCGCGGCGAGAAGGACGGAGGCCCTGGACGCGGATGGTGGCCACACGCGGGATTTGCCGGTGCGACAGCTGGATCTCTTCGACTGCCGCGCCCTGCTTCTCGTCAACCGCAATGACACGTGGGCTGGAGGGTGGCATGCTGGCGGCTTGCGGCTGGGTGATGGAGATAAGGCGCGTGGTAGAGGGCTGGACCCAAGCCATCAGGGCCAGTTTCGTGAAGGAGACGTCGCTTGTGACTTCGTAACGGGTCTGCCTTGGCAACCAAACAAGAAGCGACCTGTCTTTCCCATGCCCCCATGTGGAAAAACAGACTTTTGTGAGCCAAGCTGCCACGGCAAGAACTCCAGGGAGTGCAAGGAGCTGGCCAGCTTCAGGTCCGCGAGCTCCCCGACCGAACACGCGTAGGCCGTCATGTGCCCGGCGGAGACGCAGCACGAGAACGCCACCAGGGCCAGGAAGGCTGGCAACACGAGGAAGCCGGCATAGGAGCGGCTCAAGAAACGGAGCAGGGGCCCCTGCCGAGCCACGGATGTCAAGCTCCAACTGCGGGACGATGCAGTCGAGGAAGGCAACGTGGATCCGGTACCAAAGTCCGACTCCAAGAGCTTGCGAAGCTCCTGCGAGTCTCCGGCTCATGCCGCACGTGACTGCATTCATCCAGGAGAAACACATGTCGTCACCATCGTCAGCATCATCACCTGCAGCAGCAATATCAGAATCATCATCGTCATCGTCGCACTCACCATACCCATCCACATCATCATCATCGTCATCATCATCATCATCGTCTTCGTCTCCACTGTGCAGCACCATCACGAAAAGGAGATAGCAGGATCTGAGAGGAGGAGGAGGAGGAGGAGGAGGAGGAGGAGGAGGAGGGGGAGGAGCAGGCTGCGGCTGCTGCTGCTGCATCTTGCTGTAGTAGTTCTTGCTGCTGTCTGCAGGTGCTGGCAAGTGTGTGCTGCTACTCCACATGAACTGCTCTCTGTGCGACAAGCACGGGGTCCTGCGGTTCCTTGAGCGCCAGCAGCGTGGCCCAGGGCAGTGGCTTCATTTCGAGCCTTACCGTGCCGGCTACCAGGCATGAAGAGCCCATCTCCACGGTCTCGAGACTATTGTCCAGGTCCCGCGCAGTGCTAACGGCCTTGAGGACGGTCCACAATGCGCTGCCCAGAGCTGTCAAGGCGACCACCAGTGTCTGCAGGTCGATGCTTACGAGGTAGAGAATGAAGAGGAAGTACGCCAGGATTGCGACCACGAGCACGGCGTCGAGGATAACGTCATCCGGCAAATCGGTGATGATCACGTCCCACTTCAGGAACGCGTGCACCAACTGCTTCTTCACGAGAAGCTGCGACAGGCGCAGGGCAGCCGCAAGCGCCAGGGCGGCAGGGCAGGCTGCGACGATCCACACGGGGGCCTGCCGCAGGGTTTCCTGGGAACTAATGAGAGGAGCTCGAAGCGGCTTCCTGCAGCTCTCACTTTCTGAAAGCACGGGCCTCCTCTTCGGAGGACTTCCGGACCACTGCCAAAGCTCCCGTTTGCAAGGCCATCAAGGAGAGGAGAAAGCCGGCTGCCCAGGAGAAGCTGCTGAGGAAGTTCTGCATCGGGCTCTTCACCCTGACAAAACTCTGATTCAGCGTCGCCGGCTCGGGTTCCTCCAGCCTGTCGCTTGCCGCAGATATGCACGCCATCCAGACGGATGCCCCAAGAATCAGCACGAGGCTTGCCAGCACCGTGCCTCAGCTTCAAGCCGATGGCTGGCACGACACCACAGCCGACATTTCACTAAAGAAAAGAAATGAAGCTATCCTCGCCCAGGCGCCAGCCAGGAGGTCCGGCACCCCCTCCGGGCAGTTCTCCATAGAGATCCTTTCGGCATTCGCTTGCAATGCGGGAACTTCGGACACTTCCACACGTCAGGACAACTGCTTGCAGCCGAGCCGCTGCAGCGCCTGCGCTTTCTTGGAGTGGGGGAGTGCCGCCAACATGCGTCCCAGCACCTCGCGATTGGCACGAAGAGGGGTGGCGGGGTTGGAGACGGGCTTGCTCCTGAGCCGAATGTGTGCAAACCACGGAAACACCGCCCCTCAGCCTCAATGTCCGGGACTCTTTCATCCTCTTTCATCGCAACCCTAGAAACCCCATGAGCTGCTCGGGCAGAAGCACAACAAGTCCTTAAGCTCTTGAATTGCAACTACCTTATGGCCCTGACAAGTAGCCTCCCGTCCATCAACGCCAGAAACACTACTCTGGCCGAGCAACGCCCAGCGGCCGTTCGCCACTCAGCTTGCAAACGCAAAGGGCATCGTCGCTCCTCAGTCAACCCAAAAAGCAAGTGCAGCGAGGTCATGCTCGCCCGTGGCACAAAAAGCGCTCAAATCCTCGTTCAACCGACATGCACTCGTGCATCTATCGAGAAATCAATTGAGGAGCACCGCGTCTTCGAGACGTGGCTGCCAAGCGGCTGAGCTGCACAGAGCTTGGCTTTGTCCGACGTCCCAGCACGAATCTTGTTAATAAGGACGGGGTCTACGAAGATTGCCACGAAGGAGCCATTCACCGGGTCCTTCCGGCAGGACTGAATCGCACATTAATTATGATGTTTATTTCCAATCATCAACCCTTGTTGTTTGGTGGATGCCATTGTGCCATGCTGCTTCAAGGAACCCCCCGCCCTGCGTCAGCCCTTCTCCAGTCCTCGGCGTCGATCCAGGGCACCACGTTGGCCTTTGGGCTAGAATCGGCCGAGGCATCTGCACAGTTGGCGCTCACGAAGTACCTCGGCTGCCCAACTCCCTTTCGAAAGCCTCCATAACTGTCGAAACCTCCAAGCTTCTAAACCCCTACAGCCGAATTCCAACAAGAAACCCTTATAGAAAGTCCGAGCTGCTTGGCCTTTCCAAGGCTTCTGGCGGCTTCTCCGTGCAGCTCGTAGGAACCACTGCGGCCCGAAGGCGAAGTGCAGATCTCTGGGCACTCCTCCTGGGAGGTCCTGAGACTGAGAGCTTTTTAGCTTCGGGGTTCAGTCTTCTCCCGTTGTCGGACTGCGACTGTTCTGCCGAAAAACCATGCCACCCTTCTTTCGGCAAGTGAGAATGACAAGGTTTGCTGCTGAATTTAAGCTGAGGGGGAGAAGCTTTCAAAGACTTGCGTGCCAAGCATCGTGAGCGTGCGGAAGTCGAGGTCTGAGTCGCGAAGGGAATCAATGCACGTCAATTCGAGGATCAGGGCAAAATGCCACGAGATCCGATATGGAATCCATTTTGCATCCATCTATATATCTCTATCCTTTGAGCCGAGGACGGCTATTCGGGCTCCCGCATGGCAAACCAAGCTCAACCACGGCAAGGTCCAAGACATAAGAATTAGGCAAACAATCCTCGCCGTCCCTTCCTGTCTGCATCAGGAAGTGTGCGGGCATGCAGCGCCTGCTTGGTGTCCCTTCTGGTCCGATGCCGCAGGCTGAAGCAGCCTCAAGCAGAGCAAATGCAAATTGCTTTGCTGTTGATAGGTAGAACGATGACAGTAAAAAACAAACCACAATGAGGCACGAGAAAAGTCAACGTCTTCAGCGTCAGCGTCAGCTCCGCAGAGCAGATGTCTTTGCTCCAGCGTGTCCCATGCTCTGCAGCTAGTGGCCGTGGGATTCTCTGAGCATGAACTTAGGCCCCGGCCAAGCTTGTCGCGTGGCTGGATTCAAGTTCCTTCCTTCCCACTCCGCGCGCTTTAGACGTGCCTCGTCTGAGATGTGCTCGCGCTTGGCAGTGGCAGCATCTCCCATAGGTCCGTGCATTTGGGGAGAGCTACCGTAGGTGCTGGAAGGGCAGCTCATATCTGTGGCTGGTCTTCAAGGTGTTCGTCATTACAGGCTGCTCTGCGAAGGATCGGGAACCAAAGCTCCTCCCGTGCTGGTGGCTCGGCCTGGCAACGAAGAGGAAATGCCGTAGAGGCTAGAGCCACCTAGGTTCTGCTTCTTTTCAGGTGACATGCCATGTCTTCTGCTTGCATCCCTACAATGACACGCAAGCCTGCATCAGCCTCTAAGCTCACACATTTGGAAGCAGACTTCTCAATTGCTCCAGGCCCTTTCGAGGGGTTTGCTCGTCTTTTTAGCGTTTTTCTTTACTGCTCAAACCCCTTATCCGACCCCTTGCTTCAATCCCGTTTGACAAAGTTTCTCGTTGTGCGCGCCTTCTCGAGTTCTGATCGAGCGGTTCGCCCCTCTTTCGCAAACTCTCTACGCACTTTTGAGTGGTCTGTTCCCTTGTCTCAGATGTCGAAATTCCTCTCGAGCCCTCTGCCTGAGACTTGTGATCACAACGCGCGCATCCACCGGCCTTGCCTCTCTGCAAGTCCTCGACCACGAGTCGTCAGGACGTGCTGCTTCTACCCGCGCAGCTCGTCCTCACAAAACCGCACACACTGAGATCCTGGGCCCTGAGTTTAAGGATGCACCAGACGAACGGCGTGAGAAACGGCGTAGACGGCCACAAGTGGATGTAAACCCTCAAACCCAAAATCTAAACTCTAAGACCCTGAAGCCCTAAACCCTTACTGAATATTCTAATCCGAAAAGCCCCAAACCCTGAAAGCGTCCTGCACATCTGAGTCAAGGCAAGCCAGAGGTGTAGGGAACGCCGAAAAAGGCGGATGCCTCAAAGCAATCTTGAGGGTTCAGGGCTTTGGCGAGTCTGGGGCTTTGGGGTCCCGGCGAGCAGAGCAGATGCGGCTTCGGGTTTCAGGGCTTTCCGCAATCTTTTCGGCGTGTTGGGTAGGGTCTCGGGGTCCTAGGTTAGGGCGTTTGGGCCGCGACAAGTGGCGTCTTTTGGGACGTTTGGGGTGTTCCGGGCTTTGGTTTGGGGTTCTGGATTCTCCAGGTTTTGCTGAGGGCTTTAGGACTTTAGGGGTCCGTTTCAGGAAACGCTCAGGCTTCAGACCTCAGTGGCTTTTGGAGGGTTTGGTTTCGGCTTCGTGGCTTACGGTTCAGAGTTCCAGGCCTCCCTCCGGATGAAAGTTCCCACACCTGACAACTCCTGGATTCCCGTGTCCAGGCATCACTCCTCCACCCCTTGAGCTTTCAGGCTTGCGTCCTAAACTCGAAACCCTGAACCCTGCAAGCCCTAAACCCTACGGTAGGCCCGTTAAGCCAAGGCTAAGCATCAAGGCCTCCATACCGTATTTACAAGGAGTTCGAACCCGTGCCACCTGCGTCCGACGAGCACGACGCCTGCACAGCCATGCAGGCCGAACTGGCGTGCGACCTGGCGCCGCAGTTTTTCTATGTTCCGTCGTGGTTCCAAAATAAAGAGTTGGAGTTTGAGGGTTTGAGGGCCTGTGCAATCACGCTCGGCGACAAAGACGTGGAGCAATGTATGAGATCCAGGCTGCAGGCCGCCCACAAACCCTCACACTTCCTATAATTGCATGGGAGTCCTCGGATCTATGACCGAACGTCGGGTTTGTGGTTTCGGATGATGAGATTTTGCGAACCCAACCAAGGCTTGAAGACTCAAATTCCGCACGACCCCTCGGCACCCCAAACCCGCCCACGAAAGCTCTTTCCTTCTAAATCCCAAGCCTCGAAGCCGATGCCGCTGCCGCCGCCAGTGACCAAAGCCACACGGCCGGCGAGGACATCCTGCTGCTTTGCGCAGGGTGAGCAAGGAGGCTTGACGGTTCAGCGCTCTTCATGTCTTTTGGGTTTAGGGCTCAAGGCATTCAGAAGACGACAACACCGACCACCATCCGTGCCTGAGCAGGCTTACATGTGAAGCCGTTGGAACTGCTTTCGGGGCCCGGGAAATTTCGTCACGGCGGCTCCTCACGGAAGTAGCTCGCATCTGCCGGGGCCGTCATGGCTCAACAGCAGCACGAAGAAGGTTTTGGGAAATGGAGTCGGACTTCGCGCTCAGGGGACAGAGTGTGGGGGCGCTTTCGGGCGTCTTGTGGGAATCCGAGACTTCTGCGACTCGTGTCAGGCAGGTCCGTGTGTCGCCGTGATTTGACTCACGGCTGGTACTGCATGAAAGCTTCAAAGTTCACAGGAGGGTGCAGAATTTGAAGCTTGGAGTCTTGAGCGGAACACGCCGACATGGTGAGAATCCCCAGCCTGTCACAGCCCCAGTATTGCGGACGTAGAACGTCATGCTAACTCACAACCTGCAAGCCAAGATCCTTTCCTCGCCTCGACTCGAGGCACCTCGTCCCTAAGCATGCAGCGCATCTGCTCCCTGATCCGTGTCGACAAGATGGAAAACAGAAGTCTGTGGGGGCCACGGATGGTTACACCGTAAACGGAAAGGACACTGCAATCTACAGTTTGGTTGCAAGTAAGTCTGGGTCAAAAAGTGGTCATGTTACCACAACGACGGGAGTTTAGAGGTTCAGGGTTTGCTTCCGAGTAGTATGGAAAAAAGTCTGCAGACTCCCGAGCAAACGGCATGAGCAGCTTTTCCTGCCGGCGTTGCGCGTCTTCGTCCCATCCTGCGCAAGCCTGGAGGCGAGAGGCGTCACACAACCCTCGCACTTCCAAAGTCCCACCGCCAAAGCCCGAAGCTGAGACAACTAGCTCTGGCTTCAGTGGATGTTCCAGTGCTGGTGGGGAGGTACAGGTGGCAAGAAACGCTCTGTGAGAGGACTCCGCTCAGGACCGAAGGTTCGAAGTCTCCTAGAACACTAAACCCTAAGCCCTAAGCCCTAAACCCTAAGAATCAGAACCTGGTCTTCTGCACGAACGTAAACCCCTAAATCTGCTAAAGCAACCCCCTCTGCAGAACTGTGCCCTACATACTTGTTGCTTTGAAGGAAAGATACTTTGCGGGGGTGGGGGTGAAAGCTTGAGTGCGTATCGATGTTGCTTCTGCCTCACAACTACTGAGCCTCGACGCCACTCAAAGGCCATGAGACCCAGAAGATCCAAGAACAAAACCGCTGAGCCCCCGAGACTCCTGGTTCGAAACTCCCCCGCCCAGCAAAACCTTCAAACGTCTCCCTTTTTGCAGCCTGAGGACCTGACGGGTAACGGCCCACTCTCGGAGCCCTTGGTCGAGGCTTCCCCCGACTTCCGGCCTGCAACAGAGCATTGGGCAGACACCGCTTCCCATTTCAAAGAGATTCGCGGGATAGAAGTGGCAACTTTGGAAGAGACGATGCGGCTCTCAGGCCTGTGAGGGACCCAAGCTCAACGAACCAGGGAGGCACGCAGCCATCAGCTCTTTTTTGGCTCTTCAGCGCACGTTGCCGAATCAAATGTCGCTTTCCACTCCCTCTTCCTTGCAGATCGCTGGGGGGGTTTGCAGCGGGTTGCCCTCCAGAACCAACTCCTTCAGCCCTTTGAGCCCCTGGAAAGCGTTGGGCTCCAGGCTCTGGAGGTGGTTGACGCCCAGATCCAACTCCTTCAGCCCTTTGAGCCCCTGGAAAGCGCCCGGCTTCAGGCTGCGGAGGTGGTTGAAGCCCAGATCCAACTTCTTCAGCCCTCCCAGCCCCTGGAAAGCGCCGGGCTCCAGGCTCTGGAGTTGGTTGTCGGACAGATACAACCCCTTCAGCTCTTGGAGCCCCTGGAAAGCGCCGGGCTCCAGGCTCTGGAGTTGGTTGCCGTACAGATTCAACCACTTCAGCCCTCCGAGGCTTCCGAAGGCCTGATCTCGAAGAGTCCAGAGCCGGAAGCGGGTGAGCGCCAACTTCTCGAGAGCGCTGAGGCGCTCGAAGGACCGCAGAGCCTCGGGCTCCGGGAATTTGCGGTCCACCGGGCACAGAGCGCAGGAGATCGTGAGCACTCGCAGCTTCGGCGCGAGCTGCGCCAGCGCTCCCAGCTGCCCGAGCTGCGCCGCATCCTCCAGGGACACCAGCAGCTTCGTCAGGTTACCGAAGGCCGCCTGCGCACACACGCGACTGATCACAGCGCGCCTGTTTCTTGCTGCCGCACAGCGTTAACAACATGATGGTCATTCACGGATGGATGATGGCATGCAGCTTCGGAATCGGCGAAATACAGAAAGCCAGCTTCGCACGATGGTGCATGGCTAGTTCAGGGAGCCGGCTAGTTCAGGAATCCTTCGATGCAGGAGGAAACCTTCTGTACGAGGACCGTTACCTTCGAAGACTTGACATCTTTGTGCATCCTTTCCGACTGTTTTGATTCGAGAGCCCCAGAGTCAGTCGGCTGCATGCTGGACATGTGGGGTGAAGCGCACGCACGCTGTGCCTCAGAAGACATGCACTGTGTGGGACACCATACCATCCAAAGAGCAAAGAACAGAGACAGAGAGAGAGAGTAAAAAAAACAGATAACAAAAAAGATGTAAGGAGCTGCGCCTGCACCTGCGGTGTCACGGGTGGCATCGTGCCCAACGGGCTCTTCATCAGAGCTTCTGCCAGGAGCACGGGCATTTCCTCGTCCAGGACTGCCAGTGTGGCGAGAAGGTCACCTGACGGCTCCGGCAGTCGCCAGACCTCCCGCGCAGCGTCCTCGTCGAATCGCTCGGCATTCTGTTTGGTCAGGTTCCTTCGGATCTCCATCAACAAGCTCAGCGAGGTGCCATTGCTCGCTTGCCCCAGCAAGGTCTTTATGGAGAAGGCAAGGCTGTAGCCTTTCATGCTTACCTGGCTCTGCTTGTAGTGCCATTGTGTTCGAATAGTCTCGCTGCAGCTTGGAGCTGCTTGTCCCATGCACGAGAACAGCTTCACTGTGCCCGCCGGCAACAGAAGCGCCGGTGGGTGGACGTTTTGTCCTCTTCCGAGATCATAGGTTTTCTTGCCACCGAGGCTTTGCTCACGCACTTGCTCGCACAGCTGCGCATGGCAGCTGGCGAGCAGTTCACATAGCCCATCAGCGGACGCAAGGACGGCGCCTTCGGCTATGGTGCTCACGTTCAGGAGCGAACATCCGTGCAGCTGAGCTGCCCAGGCAGCCGGGCTGTCAACCGCCTCGTACTGCATGACCACGGTGTGCCGATGTGAGGACGAAAACCCCCACTCCCGCGCCTTCTGGCGGACCACCACTGTGAACTGGGGAGCGGCCTCCATCTGGCCCAGGATTGGGTTTATCTGCACGGCAAGTGGCTCATCTCCGAGGGCTGAGCTGTCGTTCGAGCCGTGGTAGGCACCACAGATGCTATAGCGCCACCTGATCAACCCGCTCTCCAAGCAGCGCCCGTGCCTTTGCAGGACCTGCAGGTCTGCCTTAGTGGCTGGAGACCACTCGGACCAGTTGGCTCGGAAGGCCTCAGCGGTCGCCCCTTTCTACTGGACGGCACGGCTCTCTCAGTCCCTCTCATTTTCCCTATCTCTCTCTCTCTCTCCCCCCTCCCTCCGTTAAATCCATGAATCCTAGAAGCCCTCTACTCCAAACCCTGCGCATACAAGCCGGAAGTAGCACGAGCCCAGGCGCGGGGTCCGGCAGCATCGGCATCACGAGCAAGCGAAGCGTGTCAAAGGCAAGCGGGTCGTACTTCGAGACGGAGATGACCACGTTTCCCTGCAAACCGGGTGTTTAGCAGGAAAGCTTAAACATCCCACAAAAAACCTCTGCCGCCGCCCTTCAACTTTCAGAGATCGTCAGGGAGCCCAACTCCCTGTTCGCGCCTGCACGTCCAGGGAGCTCTCGGTCTTCAGCACGAAGCTGCCGCTGGCGTTCTGTCCTACGAGCATGGCCATCGCATCGCTTGGAGGGGGCGTCCCCTGCCTGAAGGAGATGGGCGTGGCCTCGGCCTCGAACTTTTGGCCTCCCGTCTCCAGCTCCAATGCGAAGCTGAGGGTGGCGAGGCGGAAGGCCCAGTCTGGCTGCACTCTGCCGAAGGGGAGCTGGAGCTGGCCTGGCTTCATCTCCACTTCGTCGCTGCACTGTGTCGTCTTGCCTCGCTTGGCCTCCTCTGCCTCTCCAGCGACTCGCACCTCCTCCAGCCGACACCCGCTCAAGCGGCCCGTGAGATTCTGCTCTGCAGCTTTCAGTGAGGTTGAAAGATTCTGGGGGAGGTCGCCCGATTCCAAGCCTTTCCTGTCGGCAAGGACTGCGTAGCAGCCTCCTGGTCCGACGTAGGACTCGAGGCATGCCAGGTCGTGGCCACAGTCCGCAGAGCAGCTCTGCTCCGTCGCGTTCGGGCGGTCATTGTAAGTCGTCCAAAGCTGACCCAGAGCAGCGGGTCCGTGGCTGCGGGGCCTCGGCAGGCCCAGGAGGAAGTCGGCAAGCTGCACTTCGAAGCGAAAGTCTTGGAGACCTCAGGGAGCCAAGCAAAAGCGCCCCTGCCTTTAGAATACACTACACCTATCTACACCTCCAAGCTCTTCAGAAACCCATGACAAGCATGATCGCGCTGGCCTTCTGGGATGCTGAAGACCGATCCGGGCAAGGAAGACCAGGCGATGGTTCTCTGGAACTCCTGGGCGGTGATCCGGAGGGCTGCCGGCATCGTCGCCGATGGCGAGAAGCGCACTTCATACGTGGTTTCGGGCCGAGATGGACGGAGGCCCTGGACGCGGATGGTGGCCACGCGCGGGACTTGCCGGTGCGACAGCTGGATCTCTTCGACTGCCGCGCCCTGCTTGTCGTCAACCGCAATGACACGTGGGCTGGAGGGTGGCATGCTGGTGGCTTGCGGCTGGGTGATGGAGATGCGACGCGTGGTAGGGGGCTGAACCCAAGCCATCAGGGCCAGTTTCGTGAAGGACACGTCGCTTGCGACTTCGTAACGGGTCTGCCTTGGCAACCAAACAAGAAGCGACCTGTCTTTCCCATGCCCCCATGTGGGAAAAACGACTTTTGCGAGCCAAGCTGCCACGGCAAGAACTCCAGGGAGTGCAAGGAGCTGGCCAGCTTCAGGTCCGCGAGCTCCCCGACCGAACAGGCGTAGGCCGTCATGTGCCCGGCGGAGACGCAGCACGAGAACGCCACCAGGGCCAAGAAGGCTGGCAACACGAGGAAGCCGGCTCGGGAGCGGCTCAAGAAACGGAGCAGGGGCCCCTGCCGAGCCACGGATGTCAAGCTCCATCTGCGGGACGATGCAGTCGAGGAAGGCAACGTGGATCCGGTGCCGGAGTCCGACTCCAAGAGCTTGCGAAGCTCCTGCGAGTCTCCGGTTCGTGCCGCACGTGACTGCGTTCATCCACGAGACACACATGTCGTCACCGTCGTCAGCATCATCACCTGCAGCAGCAGCAGCAGCACCATCCACAACATCATCGTCGTCTCCACCGAACACCACCTGACGACCTTGGATCGCTTGCTGTCGCTAGTACCTTTTGCGTGCGGTATTGTCGTTGGGGTTGCGGTGGCTGTTGTTGCTGCTGCTGCTGCTGCTGCTATTGCTGCTATTACTGCTATTGCTGCTGCTCCTGCGGCGGCTGTGGCTGTGGATGTTCCAGTTGTTCTGGTGTGCGGCGGCTGCTGTTGTTGGTGGTGGCGATGGCTGTGGGGGTGACGGTGGCGGTTGCTGTTGCTCCTGCTGTAGTTGGTGTCAATGCTGCCCGTATTGCAGCTACCACTGTCTTGCTTCTGTTGCTACTCTATGTGAACTGCTTCTGTTGTTACATGTGCTGAATGCTCGCTGTCTGACAAGCTCTGTCAGCAGAGTCCTCCTCGTCGCTGAGCGCGAGCAATTTTGCCCAGGGCAGCGGCTTCATGTTCAGCCTTTCCGTGCTCTTCACCAGGGATGCGGAGTTGATCTCCACGAGCTTTAAGCCTTGGTCCAGGTCCCGCGCAGTGCTAACGGCCTTGAGGACGGTCCACAATGCGCTGCCCAGAGCTGTCAAGGCGACCACCAGTGTCTGCAGGTCGATGCTGACGAGGTAGAGGATGAAGAGGAAGTACGCCAGGATTGCGACCACGAGCATTGCATCGAGGATAACGTCATCCGGCAAATCGGTGATGATCACATCCCACTTCAGGAACGCGTGCACCAACTGCTTCTTCGCGAGAAGCTGCGAAAGGCGCAGGGCAGCCGCAAGCGCCAGAGCCACGGGGCCGGCCGCGACGATCCACACGGGCGCCTGCCGCAGGGTTTCGTGGGAACTAAAAAGGGGAGCTCGGCGTAGCTTCCTGCAGCTCTCACTTTCTGACAGCACGAGCCTCCTCTTCGGAGGACTTCCGGACCACTGCCAAGGCGCCGGTTTGCAAGGCCATCAGGGAGAGGAGAAAGCCGGCTGCCCAGGAGAAGCTGCTGAGGAAGTTCTGCATCGGGCTCTTCACCTCCGCAAGACTCTGAAGGGGCGCCACGGGCTCCTGCAGCCTCTCGCTTGCCGCAGACATGCACAGCATCCAGACGGACACCCCAAGAATCAGCACGAGGCTTGCCAGCACCGTGCCTCAGCTTCAAGCCGAGGGCTGTGACGGGAAGCACGACACCGCAAGCGACCTATAACTAAAGAAAAGAAGCTATCCTCGCCCAGGTGCCAGCCAGGAGGTCCGGCACCCCCTCCGGGCAGTTCTCCATGGAAATCCTTTCGGGCAAGCGCTTGCAGTGCGGGAGCTCCGGACACTTCCACACGTCAGGACAACTGCTTGCAGCCGAGCCGCTGCAGCGCCTGCGCTTTCTTGGAGTGGGGAAGTGCCGCCAACATGCGACCCAGCACCTCGCGATTGGCACGAAGAGGGGTGGCGGGGGGTTGGAGACGGGCTTGCTCCTGAGCTGAATGTGTGCATACTGTATCACGGAAACACCGCCCTGCGTCAGCCACAAACCTCTCAGCCTCAATGTCCGGGCCTCTTTCAGCAATCCCCTCGCAACCCTAGAAACCCCATGAGCTGCTCGGGCAGAAGCGCAACAAGCCCTTGAGCTCTTGAACTGCAACTACCCTGTGGCGCTGCAAAGCAGCATGGCAGGGACCTGGATCCTGACAAAGAACCTCCCGTCTATCAACACCAGAAACACTACTGTGGCCGAGCAACGCCCAGCGGCCGTTCGCCACTCAGCTTGCAAACGCAATGGGTATCGTCGCTCCTCATTCAACCCAAAAAGCAAGTGCAGCGAGGTTATGCTTGCTCGTGGCAAAAGAAATAGCAAATCCTCTTTCAACCGACATGCACTCGCGCATCTATCGAGAAATCAATTGAGGAGCACCGCGTCTTCCATACGTGGCTGCCAAGCGGCTGAGCTGCACAGAGCTTGGCTTTGTCCGGCGTCCCAGCACGAATCTTGTTAATAAGGACGGGGTCCACGAAGACTGCCACGAAGGAGCCATTCACCGGGTCCTTCCGGCAAGACTGAATCGCACATGATGATGTCTGTTTCCTATCATCAACCCTTGTCCTTTGGTGGATGCCATTATGCCATGCTGTTTCAAGGAAACACCCGCCCGGCGTCAGCCCTTCTCCGGTCCTCGGCATCGATCCAGGGCACCACGTTGGCCTTTGGGCTAGAATCGGCCGAGGCATCTGCACAGTTGGCGCTCACGAAGTACCTCGGCTGCCCAACTCCCTTTCGAAAGCCTCCATAGATATCGAAACCTCAATCCTTCTAAACCCCTAAACCATAAAACCAACAAGAAACCCTTATAGAAAGTCCGAGCTGCTTGGCCTTTCCAAGGCTTCTAGCGGCTTCTCCGTGCAGCTCGTAGGAACCACTGCGGCCCGAAGGCGAAGTGCAGATCTCTGGGCACTCCTCCTGGGAGGTCCTGAGACTGAGCGCTTTTTAGCTTCGGGGTTCAGTCTTCTCCCGTTGTCGGACTGCGACTGTTCTGCCGAAAAACCATGCCACCCTTCTTTCGGCAAGTGAGAATGACAAGGTTTGCTGCTGAATTTAAGCTGAGGGGGAGAAGCTTTCGAAAAACTTGCGTGCCGAGCATCGTAAGCGTGCGGAAGTCAAAGTCTGAGTCGCGAAGTGAATCAATGCAGGTCAATTCGAGGATCAGGGCAAAATGCCACGAGATCCGATATGGAATCCATTTTGCATCCATCTATATCTCTATCTTTTTGAGCCGCGGACGGCTATTCGGGCTCCCGCATGGCAGACCAAGCTCAACCACGGCAAGGTCCAAGATATAAGATTTAGGCAAACAATCCTCGGCGTCCCTTCTTGTCTGCATCGGAAAACGTGCGGGCAGACAGCGCCTGCTTGGCGTCCCTTCTGGCCCGATGCCGCAGGCAGAAGCAGCCTCAAGCAGAGCAAATGTTGCTTGCTTTGCTGTTGATGGGTGGAACGATGACAGCAAAAGCCTAACTACGATGAGGCACGAGAAAAGGTAACGTCGTCAGCGTCAGCTCTGCAGCGCACATGTCTTTGCTCGAGCGTGTCCCATGCTCTGCAGGCTAGTGGCTGTGGGATTCTCTGCGCATGAACTTAGGCCCCGGCCAAGCTTGTCGCGTTGCTGGATTCAAGTTCCTTCCTTCCCACTCCGCGCGCTTCCGACCTGCCAAGTCCGAGATGCGCTCGCACTTGGCAGTGGCACCATTTCCACAGGTCCGTGCATTTGGGGAGAGCTACCGGAGCTGCTGGAAGGGCGTATCTGTGGGTGATCTTTGGGGTGTTCGTCAAAACAGGCGCTCTGAAAAGGATCGGGAACCAAATCTCCTCCCGTGCCGGTGGCTCGGCCTGGCAGCGAAGAGGAAATGCCGCATATGGTAGAGCCACCTAGGTTCTGCTTCCCTTCAGGTGACGTGCCATGTCGGACGGACAGGGAAAGCTTCTGCTTGGATCCGTATATATACAATGAATTGCAAGGCTGCATCAGCCTCTAAGCTCACACATGTACTTCTCAATTGCTTCAGGCTGTTTCGAGCGGCTTGCTCGTCTTTTTGATGCCTTTCTTTACTGCTCAAACCTCTTTCCAGCAGTTTAGTCCCAGTTATCTGACCCCTTGCTCCAATTCCTTTTGACCAAGTTTTTCGTTGTTCTCGCCTTCTCCAGTCCTGATCGAGCGGTTGCCCCTCTTTCGCAAACTCCCTTGTCTCAGATGTTAAAATTCCTCTCGAGCCCTCTAGCCTGAGATTTGTGATCACAACCACCGGCCTTGCCTCTTTCCAAGTCATCACGATCACGAGTCGTCAGGACGTGCTGCTTCTGCCCGGGCAGCTTGTCCTCACAAAACCGCGCACACTGAGATCCTGGGCCCTGAATTTAAGGATGCACCAGACGAACGGCGTGACAAACGGTGCAGACTGCCGCAAGTGGATGTAAACCCTCGAACCCAAAACCTGAACTCTAAGACGACGACGCCTTACACCCTTGCTCAACATCCTAATCCTAAAAGCCCCAAACCTTGAAACCGTCCTGCACATCTGAGTCAAGGCAAGCCAGAGGTGTAGGGAACGTTGAAACAGGCGGATGCCTCAAAGCAATTCTGGCGCTGTGGGGCTTCAGGGTTTAGGGGCGAGTTTAAGGCGTTGGGGCCGCGCTTCGGGCTAGCCGCTCGCCCTTTCTCTTGAAACGACCGTAGCAAGACTGCGAAGCCCTAGCTCGACGAGTTCTGAGGCGATGCTTCGGAGAAGGGCGACTTGAAACGCCTCAGCCTCACGCAGGTCCGAGCCCTGAAGAACCTGAAGAGACCCTCTGCTGCAGAGTTGCGGAGAGTTCAGACTGCCGAGTTGGGAAGACATCAAACCCCAAAGCTAACGGGACCGGGAGTTCAGGGTGGAAGGGCATGCACTTGGAGGCGCTTGATGGAGTGAAGTCACAGCGCTGTCGGGTCTACGTTTACATCCAGTGGCGTGGGGTCGAAAGAAGATGCCAAGACCTGCCAGGTTCCCCGTTCTCCCTCCAGAAATGGACCCTGTCTTCATAAGGGTTTACATTCCAGGATGTGCACTACTGAACTGATTCTCTGAATCAGTCACCTTGTCCATCTTCCCTCCGTTCAGCTTCTCGCAGTTGCACCGCACTCCATATCCACCTTCTGCTACGGACGGCTGAGGATTGGATCTCGGCTTCGGCCTTCGTTGTTGGTCTAAGGGCCTTCATCTTCATGACTGGGAAAATTTCGAGAGGTGGACATTATCGTCACCATATGGGGGGCTGCAAGGCGCTATGGAAATTAAAGTGTTCAGACCTCCGTTTCTCCACTTGGGTGGTTTTCAAAATTATGGTCCCTTTTTGGGTACCCTAAATTTTCGGTGCCGTATTTTTAGACCCTAAATCCCTTTTTGGCCGATAATGCCCGAAAATCGAGGCTCTCCCCGGTCGGGTGAGGCAAGGCGCCATGACGGTCTTGAAGGCCTTGCTGGAGATCTCCTCGGCTGCCGCCAGGAAGTTCCCTGCTGCCGCGTTCCTCGCATCTGTGGATGTGGTCTCATGTTTCGGGCTGAGGGTTTAGGGCTTAGCAGAAAGGTTGGGAGGTTGGGTGTCTTGTAGACGACGATGGTTCTCATGCAGTGTTAGGTTCTGGCTTGGGATGCAGCTGATCGCAGGTGTCAGGATCCAAAATCTCAGGTTTAGGGTTTAAGGCTTCGGGTTCTTGTGTCTGCAGGACTTATATAGGAATTCAGCATTTCTGCCAAAACAAGCCGGGGTGCACGAGAACGTCGAGACCGCCGAAGGTTGCAACCGCCACCTTCCTCGCGGCGATTCAGTGCCAAATTTCTGGGCTTGGGGGCGGGGGGCTTGGCGGTGAATGTGTAGGGTTGGGGTTATTTGCCATCTCGGGTTGTGAAATCAAGAATGCTGAAACCTCAAACCTCGTCGGAATCTCCGGCAGATGGCCTCAAACCCGCTTCACCTGCACTCGTCCCCAAATCCCGCAATGCAGCCCCAGCCCTTGATTCTCAGTATAGGGTTAACCCTGAACCCAGAACCCACCCCTTCATTTCTTTTGAGGGCACAAGCCCGAAGCCTTCTGTAACCCAGTGGCCCTCCATCGCATTCCAAGTCTCACGGCGGTCTCGCAGTCCTCCTCGGCAGCTCGGAACTGTCTGAAGGTGGGCATGTGCTTAGGCTCATAGGGCTTAATGGCTTCCTTTAGGACTAGGGTTTGGGGCACCATGATCGTCGCCAGACCACGAAGGTCACAAAACCGAACCTTGCCACTCGCAAGCACAAGCCCTGACTGCCTTCGTGCCCTCCCCTTTGACACAAATAAAGCCCGTGCCGTAATTGGATGTACAGCATAGCAAACCTGCTCAAAGTCTTACAACACACCCTTAGATGTATAGCATGGCATAGCAAACATGTTAAAAGTCTTAAACATACCCAGTTCTGGTCCATTGCCGGGCGACTGGATTTCGGACGTCGCCAGCCGCAGTTGCCACTTTGATTCCTTGGATCCAATCGGTTCGGATGGTTCGAGTTGAGTGCTTCTTTGAGGGGCTCGGATTCGGTTCGGGGCACGTCCGTGCTTCTCGGGTCAGGAACTCAGGACTACCGAAACGGATGGAGCTTAAGCAAGCCTGAGTCTGAAACACTGAAAAGAGCCCCCCCCAAGCAAGGTCCACTGCGAAACCATATAGAACTGCGTATCTAGGAAGCCTTCGAGGGAACCCCAAACCGCTGGGCGCCTTACCCGGCGAGCAGAGCAGATGCCTGCTGCAAGAACTCAGGCCTGCTCTCAAAGGCGGCTTTAGCGGCTTCGGGGTTTGCTGGGCTTTCCGCAATCGTTTCGGCGTGTTGGGTCGGGCCTCGGGGTCTTAGGTTAGGGCGTTTGGGGTGCTACAAGTGGCGTCTTTTGGGACGTTTGGGGTGTTCGGGGCTTTGGTTTGGGGTTCTGGATATTCCAGGTTTTGCTAAGGGCTTTAGGACTTTAGGTCCGTTTCAGGGAACGCTCAGGCTTCAGACCTCAGTGGCTTTTGGAGGGCTTTGTTTCGGCTTCGTGGCTTACGGTTCAGAGTTCCAGGCCTCCCTCCGGATGAAAGTTCCCGTCCTGCTGAAGACACCTGACAACTCCTGGATTCCTGTGTCCAAGCAGCACTCTTCCGCCCCTTGAACTTTCAACCATAAGTCCTGAACTCGAAACCCTGAACCCTACAAGCCCTAAACCCTGAGGTAGGCCCGTTAAGCCCAGCTCTGTAAGGCTAATCATCAAGGCCTCCATACCGTATTTACAAGGAATTCGAGCCAGTGCCACCTGCGTCCGACGAGCACGACGCCTGCACAGCCATGCAGGCCAAACTGGCGTGCGACCTGGCGCCGCAGTTTTTCTATGTTCCGGCGCGGTTCCAAAACAAAGAGTTGGAGTTTGAGGGTTTGAGGGCCTGTGCAATCACTGGATGATGCTCGGCGACGAAGACGTATGGCGAAGTATGAGATCCCGGCTGCAGGCCGCCGACAGACCCTCACACTTCCTATAATTGCATGAGAGTCCTCTCGGATCTGTGACCGAACGTCGGGTTCGTGGTTTCGGACGATGAGATTTTGCGAACCCAACCAAGGCTTGAAGACTCAAAATCCGCACGACCCCTCGGCACCCCAAACCCCCTCGAAAGCTCTTTGCCTTCTAAATCCCAAGCCTCGAAGCCGATGCCGCTGGCGCCGCCAGTGACCAAAGCCACACGGCCGGCGAGGACATCCTGGCGCAAAGCAGGGTGAGCAAGGAGGCTGCTTCACGGTTCAGCGCTCTTCATGTCTTTTGGGTTTAGGGCTCAGGGCATTCAGAAGACGACAACACCATCCGTGCTTGAGCAGGCTTACATGTAAAGCCGTTGGGGATGCTTTCGGGGCCCAGGAAATTTCGTCACGGCGGCTCCTCACGGAAGTAGCTCGCATATGCTGGGACCGTCATGGCTCAACAGCAGCACGAAAAAGGTGTTGGAAAATGGAGTCGGACTTCGCGCTCAGGGGACAGAGTGTGGGGGGTGCGCTGATGGGCGTCTTGGTTGGTTTTTCGAGACTTCTGCGACTCGTGTCAGGCAGGTCCGTGTGTCGCCGTGATTTGACTCACGGCTGGTACTGCATGAAAGCTTCAAAGTTCACAGGAGAGTGCAGAATTTGAAGCTTGGAGTCTTGAGCGGAACACGCCGACATGGTGAGAATCCCCAGCCTGTCACAGCCCCAGTATTGCGGACGTAGAACGTCATGCTAACTCACAACCTACAAGCCAAGATCCTTTCCTCGCCTCGACTCGAGGCACCTCGTCCCTAAGCATACAGCGCATCTGCTCCCTGATCCGTGTCGACAAGATGGAAAACAGAAGTCTGTGGGGGCCACGGATGGTTACACCGTAAACGGAAAGGACACTGCAATCTACACTTTGGTTGCAAGTAAGTCTGGGTCAAAAAGTGGTCATGTTACCACAACGACGGGAGTTTAGAGGTTCAGGGTTTGCTTCCGAGTAGTATGGAAAAAGGCTGCAGACTCCCGAGCAAACGGCATGAGCAGCTTTTCCTGCTTGCGCGTCTTCGTCCCATCCTGCGCAAGCCTGGAGGCGAGAGGCGTCACACAACCCTCGCACTTCCAAAGTCCCACCGCCAAAGCCCGAAGCTGAGACAACTAGCTCTGGCTTCAGTGGATGTTCCAGTGCTGGTGGGGAGGTACAGGTGACAAGAAACGCTCTCTGAGAGGACTCCGCTCAGGACCGAAGGTTCGAAGTCTCCTAGAACCCTAAACCCTAAGCCCTAAACCCTAAGAATCCTCTGATCCGCCCAGGCAAGGCTCAGAACCTGGTCTTCTGCACGAACGTAAACCCCAAAATCTGCTAAAGCCACCTCCTCTGCAGAACTGTGCCCTACATACTTGTTGCTTTGAAGGAAAGATACTTTGCGGGGGTGGGGGTGAAAGCTTGAGTGCGTATCGATGTTGCTTCTGCCTCATAACTACTGAGCCTCGACGCCACTCAAAGGCCGTGAGACCCAGAAGATCCAAGAACAAAAACGCTGAGCCTCCGAGACTCCTGGTTCGAAACTCCCCCGCCCAGCAAAACCTTCAAACGTCTCCCTTTTTGCAGCCTGAGGACCTGACGGGTAACGGCCCACTCTCGGAGCCCTTGGTCGAGGCTTCCCCCGACTTCCGGCCTGCAACAGAGCATTGGGCAGACACCGCTTCCCATTTCAAGGAGCCCGCGGGATAGAAGTGGCAACTTTGGAAGAGACGATGCGGCTCTCAGGCCTGTGAGGGACCCAAGCTCAACGAACCAGGGAGGCATGCAGCCATCAGCTCTTTTTTGGCTCTTCACCGCACGTTGCCGAATCAATCGTAGCATTCCACCCCCTCTTCCTTGCAGATCGCTGGGGGGGTTTGCAGCGGGTTGCCCTGCAGAACCAACACCTTCAGCTCTTTGAGCCCCTGGAAAGCGCCGGGCTCCAGGCTCTGGAGGTGGTTGAAGCCCAGATCCAACTTCTTCAGCCCTCCCAGCCCCTGGAACGCGCCCGACTCCAGGCTCTGGAGTCGGTTGTAGGACAGAGCCAACTCCTTCAGCTCTTTGAGCCCCTGGAAAGCGCCGGGCTCTAGGCTTTGGAGTTGGCTCCTGTGCAGATACAACTCCTTCAGCTCTCCGAGGCTTCCGAAGGCCTTCGCTCGAAGAGTCAAGAGCCGGAAGTTGTTGAGCCGCAACCCGGCGAGAGCGCTGAGGCGCTCGAAGGACCGCAGAGCCTCGGGCTCCGGGATTTTGTGGTCCGCCGGGCACAGAGCGCAGGAGATCGTGAGCACTCGCAGCTTCGGCGCGAGCTGCGCCAGCGCGCCCAGCTGCCCGAGCTGGGCCGCGTCCTCCAGGGACACCGACAGCTGCGTCAGGTTACCGAAGGCCGCCTGCGCACACATGCGACTGATCACAGCGCGCCTGTTTCTTGCTGCCGCACAGCGTTAACAACATGATGGTCATGCACGGATGGATGATGGCATGCAGCTTCGGAATCAGCGGCATTCAGAAAGCCAGCTTCGTACGATGGTGCATGGTTAGTTCAGGGAGCGGGCTAGTTCAGGAATCCTTCGATGCAGGAGGAAACCTTCTGTACGAGGACCGGGACCTTCGAAGACTTGACATCTTTGTGCATCCTTTCCGACAGTTCTGATTCGAGAGCCCAAAGTCAGTCCGCTGCATGCTGGACATGTGGGGTGAAGCGCACGCACGCTGTGCCTCAGAAGACATGCACTGTGTGCGACACCATACCATCCAAAGAGCAAGAAACAGAGAAATAAGAGAGAGAGAGAGAGAGAGAGAGAGAGAGAGAGAGAGAGGGAGGGAGGGAGGGAGGGAGGGAGGGAGAGAGAGAGAGAGAGAGAGAGAGAGAGAGAGAGAGAGAGCAGATGACAAAACGATGTAAGGAGCTGCGCCTGCACCTGCGGCGTCACGGGTGGCATCGTGCCTAAGGGGCTCTTCACCAGAGCTTCTGCCAGGCGCTGGGGCATTTTCTCGTCCAGGACTGCCAGTGTGGAGAGAAGGTCACCTGACGGCTCCGGCAGTCGCCAGACCTCCCGCACAGCGTCCACGTCGAATCGCTCGGCTTCCTCTTGGCGCAGGTTCCTTCGGATCTCCTTCAACAAGCTCAGCGCGGTGCTACTGCTCGCTTGCTCCAGCAAGGTCTGTATGGAGAACGCAAGACTGTAGCCGTCCATGCCTACGTGGCTCTGCTTGTAGTGCCATTGTGTTCGAAGGCTCTCGCTGCAGCTTGGAGCGGCTTCTTCCATGCAGGCTAGCAGCTTCACGGTGCCAGCCGGCGACAGAAGCGCCGGTGGGTGGACGTCTTGTCCTCTTCCGAAATCATAGGTTTTCGTTCCACCGAGGCTTTGCTCACGCACTTGCTTGCACAGCTGCCCATGGCAAGTTGGGAGCAGCTCACACAAAGCGTCCGCGGACGCAAGGACGGCGCCTTCGGCTATGGTGCTCACATTCAGGAGCGAACATCCGTGCAGCTGAGCTGCCCAGGCAGCGGGGCTGTCCACCGCCTCGTACTGCATGACCACGGTGTGCCATTGTGAGGACGAAAACCCCCACTCCCGCGCCTTCTGGCGGACCACCACTGTGAACTGAGGAGCGGCCTCCATCTGGCCCTGGATTGGGTTAATCTGCACGGCAAGTGGCTCATCTCCGAGGCCTGAGCTGTCGTTCGAGCCGTGGTAGGCACCGCAGATGCTGTAGCGCCACCTGATCAACCCGCTCTCCAAGCAGCGCCCGTGCCTTTGCAGGAGCTGCAGGTCTGCCTTAGTGGCTGGAGACCACTCGGACCAGTTGGCGCGGAAGGCCTCAGCGGTCGCTCCTTTCTACTGGGCGGCACCGCTCTCTCAGTCCCTCTCATTTTCCCTATCTCTGTCTCTCTCTCTCTCTCTCTCGCCCCTCCCTCCGTTAAGTCCATGAATCCTAGAAGCCCTCTACCCCAAACCCTCCGCATACAAGCCGGAAGCAGCACGAGCCCAGGCACCGGGTCCGGCAGCATCGGCATCACGAGCAAGCGAAGAGTGTCAAAGGCAAGCGGGTCGTACTTCGAGACGGAGATGACCACGTTTCCCTGCAAACCGGGTGTTTAGCTTGAAAGCTTCAACATCCCACAAAAACCTCTGCCGCCACCCTTCAACTTTCAGAGATCGTCAGGGAACCCAACTCTCTGTTCGCGCCTGCACGTCCAGGGAGCTCTCGGTCTTCAGCACGAAGCTGCCGCTGGCGTTGTGTCCTACGAGCATGGCCATCGCGTCGCTTGGAGGTGGCGTCCCTTGCCTGAAAAAGATGGGCGTGGCCTCGGCCTCGAACTTTTGGCCTCCCGTCTCCAGCTTCAAAGCAAAGCTGAGGGTAGCGAGGTGGAAGGCCCAGTCTGGCTGCACTCTGCCGAAGGGGAGCTGGAGTTGGCCTGGCTTCATCTCCACGTCGTCCCTGCACTGAGTCGTCTTGCCTCGCTTGGCCTCCTCTGCCTCTCCAGCGGCTCGCACCTCCTCCAGCCGACACCCGCTCAAGCGGCCCGTGAGATTCTGCTCTGCAGCCTTGACTGAGCTTGGAAGATTCTCGGAGAGGTCGCCCGACTCCAACCCCTTCCTGTCGGCAAGCACCGCGTAGCAGCCACCTGGTCCGACGTAGGACTCCAGGCATGCCAGGTCATGGGCGCAATCCGCTGAGCAGCTCTCCTCCGTCGCATTCGGGCGGTCCCAGTAAGTCGTCCAAAGCTGCCCCACAGCAGCGGGTCCGTGGCTGCGGGGCCTCGGGAAGCCCAGGAGGAAGTCGGCGAGCTGCACTTCGACGCGAAAGTCTTGGAGACCTCAGGGAGACCAGCAAAAGCGCCCCTGCCTTTAGAATACACTACACCTCTAAGCTCTTGAGAAACCCATGATGATGATCGCGCTGGCCTTCTGGGATGCTGAAGACCGATCCGGGCAAGGAAGACCAGGCGATGGTTCTCTGGAACTCCTGGGCGGTGATCCGGAGGGCTGCCGGCATCGTGGCTGACGGCGAGAAGCGCACTTCGTAAGTGGTTTCGGGCCGAGAAGGACGGAGGCCCTGGACGCGGATGGTGGCCACGCGCGGAACTTGCCGGTGCGACAGCTGGATCTCTTCGACCGCCACGCTCTGCTTCTCCTCAACCGCAATGACTCGGGGGCTGGAAGGCGGCATGCTCGTAGCTTGCGGCTGGGCGATGGACATAAGGCGGGTGGCAGAGGGGCGGACACTGGCAACCAGGGCCAATTTCGTGAAGGACACGTCGCTTGTGACTTCGTACCGGGTCTGCCTCAGAGCCCAAACTCGCAACTTGACATCATAATTTGTATTCGCCCATTTGGACAAACCAGGCTTTTGCGAGCCAAGCCGCCAGGGGAGGAACTCCAGGGAGTGCAAGGAGCTGGCCAGCTTCAGGTCCGCGAGCTCCCCGACCGAACACGCGTAGGCCGTCATGTGCCCGGCGGAGATGCAGCACGAGAATGCCACCAGGGCCAGGAAGGCTGGCAACACGAGGAAGCCGGCTCGGGAGCGGCTCAAGAAACGGAGCAGGGGCCCCTGCCGAGCCACGGATGTCAAGCTCCATCTGCGGGACGATGCAGTCGAGGAAGGCAACGTGGATCCGGTGCTGGGGGAGTCCGACTCCAAGAGCTTGCGAAGCTCCTGCGAGTCTCCGGCTCGTGCCGCACGTGACTGCATTCATCCAGGAGAAACACATGTCGTCACCATCGTCAGCATCATCACCTCCAGCAGCAATATCAGAATCATCATCGTCATCGTCGCACTCACCATACCCATCCACATCATCATCATCATCATCATCATCATCTTCGTCGTCTCCACTGCGCAGCACCAAGGAGGAGGAGGAGGAGGCTGCGGCTGCTGCTGCTGCTGCTGCTGCTGCTGCTGCTGCTGCTGCTGCTGCTGCATCTTGCTGTAGTAGTTCTTGCTCCTGTCTGAAGGTGCTGGCAAGTGTGTGCTGCTACTCCACGTGAACTGCTCTCTGTGCGACAAGCACGGGGTCCTGCGGTTCCTTGAGAGCCAGCAGCGTGGCCCAGGGCAGTGGCTTCATTTCGAGCCTTACCGTGCCGGCTACCAGGCACGAAGAGCCCATCTCCACGGTCTCGAGACTATTGTCCAGGTCCCGCGCAGTGCTCACGGCCTTGAGGACGGTCCACAATGCGCTGCCCAGAGCTGTCAAGGCGACCACCAGTGTCTGCAGGTCGATGCTTACGAGGTAGAGGATGAAGAGGAAGTACGCCAGGATTGCGACCACGAGCACGGCGTCGAGGATAACGTCATCCGGCAAATCGGTGATGATCACGTCCCACTTCAGGAACGCGTGCACCAACTGCTTCTTCACGAGAAGCTGCGACAGGCGCAGGGCAGCCGCAAGCGCCAGGGCGGCAGGGCAGGCTGCGACGATCCACACGGGGGCCTGCCGCAGGGTTTCGTGGGAACTAATGAGAGGAGCTCGAAGCGGCTTCCTGCGGCTCTCACTTTCTGAAAGCACGGGCCTCCTCTTCGGAGGACTTCCGGACCACTGCCAAGGCTCCCGTCTGCAAGGCCATCAAGGAGAGGAGAAAGCCGGCTGCCCAGGAGTAGCTGCTGAGGAAGTTCTGCATCGGGCTCTTCACCCTGACAAAACTCTGATTTAGCGTCGCCGGCTTGGGTTCCTCCAGCTTCTCGCTTGCCGCAGACATGCACACCATCCGGACGGACACCCCAAGAATCAGCACGAGGCTTGCCAGCACCGTGCCTCAGCTTCGTCCCGACGGCTGTGGGAAGCACGACACCACAGCCGACATTTCACTAAAGAAAAGAAGCGAAGCTATCCTCGCCCAGGCGCCAGCCAGGAGGTCCGGCACCCCCTCCGGGCAGTTCTCCATGGAAATCCTTTCGGGCAAGCGCTTGCAGTGCAGGAGCTCCGGACACTTCCACACGTCAGGACAACTGCTCGCAGCCGAGCCGCTGCAGCGCCTGCGCTTTCTTGGAGTGGGGGAGTGCCGCCAACATGCGTCCCAGCACCTCGTGTTTGGGACGCACAGGGGTGGCAGGGTTGGCTTCGGGCTTGCTCCTGAGCTCACCGAATGTGCGCATGTCACGGAAACACCGGCCCACTGTGTCAGCCTCTCAGCCTCAATGCCTCAACGTCCGGGCCTCTTTCATCCTCTTTCATCACCCTAGAAGCCCCCTGAGCTGCTCGGGCAGCAGAAGCGCAACAAGCCCTTAAGCGCTTGAATTGAATTGCAACTACCCTGCGGCGCTGCAAAGCAGCATGGCAGGGACCTGGATCCTGACAAAGAACCTCCCGTCTATCAACACCAGAAACACTACTATGGCCGAGCAACGCCCAGCGGCCGTTCACCACTCAGCTTGCAAACGCAATGGGTATCGTCGCTCCTCATTCAATCCAAAAAGCAAGTGCAACGAGGTTATGCTCGCTCGTGGCGCAAAAAAAGGCAAATCCTCTTTCAACCGACATGCACTTGTGCATCTATCGAGAAATCAATTGAGGAGCACCGCGTCTTCGACACGTGGCTGCCAAGCGGCTGAGCTGCACAGAGCTTGGCTTTGTCCGACGTCCCAGCACGCATCTTGTTAATAAGGACGGGGTCTACGAAGACTGCCACGAACGAGCCATTCACCGGGTCCTTCCGGCAAGACTCAATCGCACATGATGAAGTCTAATTATTTCCTATCATCAACCCTTGTCCTTTGGTGGATGCCAATATGCCATGCTGTTTCAAGGAAACACCCGCCCGGCGTCAGCCCTTCTCCGGTCCTCGGCATCGATCCAGGGCACCACGTTGGCCTTTGGGCTAGAATCGGCCGAGGCATCTGCACAGTTGGCGCTCACGAAGTACCTCGGCTGCCCAACTCCCTTTCGAAAGCCTCCATAGATATCGAAACCTCAATCCTTCTAAACCCCTAAACCATAAAACCAACAAGAAACCCTTATAGAAAGTCCGAGCTGCTTGGCCTTTCCAAGGCTTCTGGCGGCTTCTCCGTGCAGCTCGTAGGAACCACTGCGGCCCGAAGGCGATGTGCAGATCTCTGGGCACTCCTCTTGGGAGGTCCTGAGACTGAGAGCTTTTTAGCTTCGGGGTTCAGTCTTCTCCCGTTGTCGGACTGCGACTGTTCTGCCGAAAAACCATGCCACCCTTCTTTCGGCAAGTGAGAATGACAAGGTTTGCTGCTGAATTTAAGCTGAGGGGGAGAAGCTTTCAAAGACTTGCGTGCCAAGCATCGTGAGCGTGCGGAAGTCGAGGTCTGAGTCGCGAAGGGAATCAATGCACGTCAATTCGAGGATCAGGGCAAAATGCCACGAGATCCGATATGGAATCCATTTTGCATCCATCTATATATCTCTATCCTTTGAGCCGAGGACGGCTATTCGGGCTCCCGCATGGCAAACCAAGCTCAACCACGGCAAGGTCCAAGACATAAGAATTAGGCAAACAATCCTCGCCGTCCCTTCCTGTCTGCATCAGGAAGTGTGCGGGCATGCAGCGCCTGCTTGGTGTCCCTTCTGGTCCGATGCCGCAGGCTGAAGCAGCCTCAAGCAGAGCAAATGCAAATTGCTTTGCTGTTGATAGGTAGAACGATGACAGTAAAAAACAAACCACAATGAGGCACGAGAAAAGTCAACGTCTTCAGCGTCAGCGTCAGCTCCGCAGAGCAGATGTCTTCGCTCCAGCGTGTCCCATGCTCTGCAGCTAGTGGCCGTGGGATTCTCTGAGCATGAACTTAGGCCCCGGCCAAGCTTGTCGCGTGGCTGGATTCAAGTTCCTTCCTTCCCACTCCGCGCGCTTTAGACGTGCCTCGTCTGAGATGTGCTCGCGCTTGGCAGTGGCAGCATCTCCCATAGGTCCGTGCATTTGGGGAGAGCTACCGTAGGTGCTGGAAGGGCAGCTCATATCTGTGGCTGGTCTTCAAGGTGTTCGTCATTACAGGCTGCTCTGCGAAGGATCGGGAACCAAAGCTCCTCCCGTGCTGGTGGCTCGGCCTGGCAACGAAGAGGAAATGCCGTAGAGGCTAGAGCCACCTAGGTTCTGCTTCTTTTCAGGTGACATGCCATGTCTTCTGCTTGCATCCCTACAATGACACGCAAGCCTGCATCAGCCTCTAAGCTCACACATTTGGAAGCAGACTTCTCAATTGCTCCAGGCCCTTTCGAGGGGTTTGCTCGTCTTTTTAGCGTTTTTCTTTACTGCTCAAACCCCTTATCCGACCCCTTGCTTCAATCCCGTTTGACAAAGTTTCTCGTTGTGCGCGCCTTCTCGAGTTCTGATCGAGCGGTTCGCCCCTCTTTCGCAAACTCTCTACTCACTTTTGAGTGGTCTGTTCCCTTGTCTCAGATGTCGAAATTCCTCTCGAGCCCTCTGCCTGAGACTTGTGATCACAACGCGCGCATCCACCGGCCTTGCCTCTCTGCAAGTCCTCGACCACGAGTCGTCAGGACGTGCTGCTTCTACCCGCGCAGCTCGTCCTCACAAAACCGCACACACTGAGATCCTGGGCCCTGAGTTTAAGGATGCACCAGACGAACGGCGTGAGAAACGGCGTAGACGGCCACAAGTGGATGTAAACCCTCAAACCCAAAATCTAAACTCTAAGACCCTGAAGCCCTAAACCCTTACTGAATATTCTAATCCGAAAAGCCCCAAACCCTGAAAGCGTCCTGCACATCTGAGTCAAGGCAAGCCAGAGGTGTAGGGAACGCCGAAAAAGGCGGATGCCTCAAAGCAATCTTGAGGGTTCAGGGCTTTGGCGAGTCTGGGGCTTTGGGGTCCCGGCGAGCAGAGCAGATGCGGCTTCGGGTTTCAGGGCTTTCCGCAATCTTTTCGGCGTGTTGGGTAGGGTCTCGGGGTCCTAGGTTAGGGCGTTTGGGCCGCGACAAGTGGCGTCTTTTGGGACGTTTGGGGTGTTCCGGGCTTTGGTTTGGGGTTCTGGATTCTCCAGGTTTTGCTGAGGGCTTTAGGACTTTAGGGGTCCGTTTCAGGAAACGCTCAGGCTTCAGACCTCAGTGGCTTTTGGAGGGTTTGGTTTCGGCTTCGCGGCTTACGGTTCAGAGTTCCAGGCCTCCCTCCGGATGAAAGTTCCCACACCTGACAACTCCTGGATTCCCGTGTCCAGGCATCACTCCTCCACCCCTTGAGCTTTCAGGCTTGCGTCCTAAACTCGAAACCCTGAACCCTGCAAGCCCTAAACCCTACGGTAGGCCCGTTAAGCCAAGGCTAAGCATCAAGGCCTCCATACCGTATTTACAAGGAGTTCGAACCCGTGCCACCTGCGTCCGACGAGCACGACGCCTGCACAGCCATGCAGGCCGAACTGGCGTGCGACCTGGCGCCGCAGTTTTTCTATGTTCCGTCGTGGTTCCAAAATAAAGAGTTGGAGTTTGAGGGTTTGAGGGCCTGTGCAATCACGCTCGGCGACAAAGACGTGGAGCAATGTATGAGATCCAGGCTGCAGGCCGCCCACAAACCCTCACACTTCCTATAATTGCATGGGAGTCCTCGGATCTGTGACCGAACGTCGGGTTTGTGGTTTCGGATGATGAGATTTTGCGAACCCAACCAAGGCTTGAAGACTCAAATTCCGCACGACCCCTCGGCACCCCAAACCCGCCCACGAAAGCTCTTTCCTTCTAAATCCCAAGCCTCGAAGCCGATGCCGCTGCCGCCGCCAGTGACCAAAGCCACACGGCCGGCGAGGACATCCTGCTGCTTTGCGCAGGGTGAGCAAGGAGGCTTGACGGTTCAGCGCTCTTCATGTCTTTTGGGTTTAGGGCTCAAGGCATTCAGAAGACGACAACACCGACCACCATCCGTGCCTGAGCAGGCTTACATGTGAAGCCGTTGGAACTGCTTTCGGGGCCCGGGAAATTTCGTCACGGCGGCTCCTCACGGAAGTAGCTCGCATCTGCCGGGGCCGTCATGGCTCAACAGCAGCACGAAGAAGGTTTTGGGAAATGGAGTCGGACTTCGCGCTCAGGGGACAGAGTGTGGGGGCGCTTTCGGGCGTCTTGTGGGAATCCGAGACTTCTGCGACTCGTGTCAGGCAGGTCCGTGTGTCGCCGTGATTTGACTCACGGCTGGTACTGCATGAAAGCTTCAAAGTTCACAGGAGGGTGCAGAATTTGAAGCTTGGAGTCTTGAGCGGAACACGCCGACATGGTGAGAATCCCCAGCCTGTCACAGCCCCAGTATTGCGGACGTAGAACGTCATGCTAACTCACAACCTGCAAGCCAAGATCCTTTCCTCGCCTCGACTCGAGGCACCTCGTCCCTAAGCATGCAGCGCATCTGCTCCCTGATCCGTGTCGACAAGATGGAAAACCGAAGTCTGTGGGGGCCACGGATGGTTACACCGTAAACGGAAAGGACACTGCAATCTACAGTTTGGTTGCAAGTAAGTCTGGGTCAAAGTGGTCATGTTACCACAACGACGGGAGTTTAGAGGTTCAGGGTTTGCTTCCGAGTAGTATGAAAAAAGCTGCAGACTCCCGAGCAAACGGCATGAGCAGCTTTTCCTGCCGGCGTTGCGCGTCTTCGTCCCATCCTGCGCAAGCCTGGAGGCGAGAGGCGTCACACAACCCTCGCACTTCCAAAGTCCCACCGCCAAAGCCCGAAGCTGAGACAACTAGCTCTGGCTTCAGTGGATGTTCCAGTGCTGGTGGGGAGGTACAGGTGGCAAGAAACGCTCTGTGAGAGGACTCCGCTCAGGACCGAAGGTTCGAAGTCTCCTAGAACACTAAACCCTAAGCCCTAAGCCCTAAACCCTAAGAATCAGAACCTGGTCTTCTGCACGAACGTAAACCCCTAAATCTGCTAAAGCAACCCCCTCTGCAGAACTGTGCCCTACATACTTGTTGCTTTGAAGGAAAGATACTTTGCGGGGGTGGGGGTGAAAGCTTGAGTGCGTATCGATGTTGCTTCTGCCTCACAACTACTGAGCCTCGACGCCACTCAAAGGCCATGAGACCCAGAAGATCCAAGAACAAAAACGCTGAGCCCCCGAGACTCCTGGTTCGAAACTCCCCCGCCCAGCAAAACCTTCAAACGTCTCCCTTTTTGCAGCCTGAGGACCTGACGGGTAACGGCCCACCCTCGGAGCCCTTCGTCGAGGCTTCCCCCGACTTCCGGCCTGCAACAGAGCATTGGGCAGACACCGCTTCCCATTTCAAGGAGCCCGCGGGATAGAAGTGGCAACTTTGGAAGAGACGATGCGGCTCTCAGGCCTGTGAGGGACCCAAGCTCAACGAACCAGGGAGGCACGCAGCCATCAGCTCTTTTTTGGCTCTTCAGCGCACGTTGCCGAATCAAATGTCGCATTCCACTCCTTGCTCGCAGATCGCTGGGGGGGTTTGCAGCGGGTTGCCCTCCAGAACCAACGTCTCCAGCTCTTTGAGCCCCTGGAAAGCGCCCGGCTTCAGGCTGCGGAGGTGGTTGAAGCCCAGATCCAACTTCTTCAGCCCTCCCAGCCCCTGGAACGCGCCCGACTCCAAGCTCTGGAGTTGGTTGTACTCCAGATGCAACTCCTTCAGCCCTTTGAGCCCCAGGAAAGCGCCGGGCTCCAGGCTCTGGAGTTGGTTGTTGGGCAGACGCAACCCCTTCAGCTTCCCGAGGCTTCCGAAGGCCTGCTCTCGAAGAGTCAAGAGCCGGAAGTTGTTGAGCCGCAACTCCTCGAGAGCGCTGAGGCGCTCGAAGGACCGCAGAGTTTCGGGCTCCGGGATTGTGCGTTCCGCCGGGCACAGAGTGCAGGAGATCTTGAGCTTTCGCAGCTTCGGCGCGAGCTGCGCCAGCACGCCCAGCTGCCCGAGCTGGGCCGCATCCTCCAGGGACACCTGCAGCTGCGTCAGGTTACCGAAGGCCGCCTGCGCACACGCACACACGCGACTGATGAGCGCGCCTTTTTCTTGCTGCCGCACAGCGACCCTCCGGCGTCGTCGTCGGCCGTAAATCCCGGAACACTCGAAAATCGAAGGGGGTTGTTGACAACATGATGGTCATTCATGGATGGATGATGGCATGCAGCTTCGGAATCGGCGAAATACAGAAAGCCAGCTTCGTACGATGGTGCATGGCTAGTTCAGGGAGCGGGCTAGTTCAGGAATCCTTCGATGCAGGAGGAAACCTTCTGTACGAGGACCGGGACCTTCGAAGACTTGACATCTTGGTGTATCCTTTCCGACAGTTCTGATTCGAGAGCCCAAAGTCAGTCCGCTGCATGCTGGACATGTGGGGTGAAGCGCACGCACGCTGTGCCTCAGAAGACATGCACTGTGTGCGACACCGTGCAATCCAAAGAGCAAGAAACAGAGACAGAGAGAGAGAGAGAGAGAGATTGAAAAAA